GACAGTAGTAAAAGAATAGCTAATGAAAAGACGTGGTAGTAGACTAACTTAAGTAGATAGAGCATTTCTAAAAAGTAGCAATTATACTTCATAAAGATTAAGTTTTTCTTGTAAAAATTAATTGTATTTTTCTTGTAAAATGGTGCAACCGTTTAAAAATAAATAAAATAAAATAAAAGTTGAACACTGGGCACGTAACATTATCGTGGTTGCATCAAATTGAAGACTATTAGAGTAGCCCTAGGCCTACTAAAAATGCTTAATTCTAACCTGACTGAAGGTCGGCTTGTTGTGTATCCGAGAGCATCTGTCACCATGGCGACATGCTCCGATCTTGAAGTAAAATGAACAATTAACTCTGAAAATAAGAAAAAACACTTAGTAAAATTGAAGTCAGCATTGCATGCAAATATCTTAGTACTGTATTTTAAACATTCACAGGCCTGCCTACTACAGGAAAAAGAAATTGGATAGGCCTACAGCTCCGCAACCTGAGTAGAATATATTATCGTAAGGAATTTTTGCGAGAAAAGCGCAGACATTGTAGGTCTAGTACAGTTTAGCCTTTACCCGTGAGAAATTACCTCAAGTTCCTTTTTAAGCATCCCGGATCTGATGTGGATTTGATTAGAAGAGGGAGAGTAAACTGTTTGATAGCATTATGTAAGATGTCTTTCAAAGAAGGTGGTATAATGGGCTAGAATTCTCAGATTGAAGTTATAGCAAAGCAGATATGAGTGGGTGATATTAATAACTTATGGCAATGATTTGAATTCTAAATAAATACCGTACCTGAATGATTTTTTAAACTTTGTTATGGGTTGCGATTTGCAGTCCTAATTACTCGGATTGATTTAAATGTTCCTAAAATTCGGCAGAAATTCAATTGTATTAATCTAAGTTATAAAAACAGTTTTTTGGTAATACTGGACTTATAATGTACTACTTAATTGCATTTATTCTACAACATTATTAACAAAACCTGGGCTATTTTAAGCACTATTCCTCTGGCACTTTAGGGGGAAAACGCCTTTTTCACTCAGAAGAATCGGTTTAAATCGCTAGAAATCGGTAATTTTCGGCGCTTAAAAGAAATAGTTTAGGCCCTATGCGTTTTTCTCTTGAAAAAATTATCTAACTTAATAGCAGTTTCTCAGAAGACTGGCTAGGTGCAAGTTTAACTTGTGGCTTTGGGAGTGGGAATTTTTGACGGGGGACAGTTTACACCCCACATTTACTAATACAGCTCTGTTTGGTTAGGTTAGGTTAGTTTAGAACAGTTTCATTTTATAATCAGCTGGTAAGTAGTTAATGTATAATAGTAAATGTGGGGCGTAGGCCCTAAACTAAAGCGTACCCGTCAGGGATTTTCTCCCTAAGTAGCCTAATCCTTGAAACTTATTTCCCCTTGTATATAGCCTAGCTTTGAGGAGTTGGTATACGTTGCTATAATGTGTACTCTTGTCCAAGGAATATGTTATGTGTCCTGTATCCAAGGAGTTTCTAATTGAATTAATTAAGGAATCCCAAACCTTAGCCTGGTCATGCACATTTCCAAGTTCTGCTACCTATGCCATTATAGCCTAGTTTAGTTGTTTTAGGCCTATTTGCTTCACTTCCAGAACAGCTAAGCCTAATCATCAAGAATAGTGGTGATTAGTTTTTTAAAACGTTTGCTGCTGACCGCTAAATGCCGGGACGGTGCCAGGAGCTGAACTAACGCTTGCCGCTGCTTAACATTGCAGCTGATACACTGAATTACAGTAAAAACAACAGTAGTTATACTGGATGGCAATGTTCTGCAATAAAACTAGCTTTGGACAAAGCCCTGTTCTAAACGACCCTGGTGACGATTTTGGGAAACTATTTTTTTTTATTGTCAGAAAAGTACGTCCCCACGAGCTGCAAAGAAATATAGGACGCTCGTGACGAGCTGGCTGATCCATGGTAACGTTAAACAACAATGAATAGCGCCGTTCCGGAACGTTCCTAGCTCCTGGCGCCGTGGCCCGTTTGACGTTCCGGAACGTAGCAGCATAGACAAAAATAATTAAATATAGACTGTCAGCCGTGATGCGGTTACCATGGTAACCATAGGTTCTGGCGCAGACCACTGGAAGCGCCCGTGTGTAGTTGCATTAAATTAATAAATCTTTATTGGTCATTAAATAACAGATGTTACAATAGACCTCGTTACCAAAAAAAGGTACCAAAAAGGGCCATAGATTCTAGATAGTATAACATGGAATCTTCACTAAATATAACAAAGACAACAAGAAAATAAATAGTTAAAAATCATTTGAAAAACACAGAACTATACAGAAACAAAAAGTGAGGTACTTAAACAAAGTGTTTGAAAAAAAGTTGTTTGAAAGTGTTTACAAAAATAACACACTCTAATATATACCAATTTACAGTTGTCAGGATACCTGTCGCTTTAAAAAGAGGTTTACAATGGTCCCTTAACCCTGAATTGGTCAACAGTCTTACAGCCTTTTTTGAAGCTTTAAAATTATTAGAATGTGGGTGGAGACGTCTAATTAAAAATAAAACTCTTTACAATTTCTTACTTAAGTTATATAAATGGGTTGACCAGCTTAAGTCACTATCCAAATCTATGCCTAATAAATTTACACTTGACGAAAAATTCTTTTCTTCCTTAGTGTGTGCGACCTAATCTAAAAACAATAGTTTGAATCTTTTCAAGATTCATAAAAAACCCATTGACACTGAACCAGTTCCTAGCTTCATTGAGGGAAAGTTTGGACAGCACCATGAGTTCACTAGGCCTACCTTGACTATTTAAGAAAGTGGAATCATCCGCATAAATCACAGAGGTAGCCTACAGGACATACATTTTTCCAAATCATTAATCATTATAAGGAAAAGAACAGGGCCTAACACCGAGCCCTGGGGCACTCCGCAAAAAACCTCACTCTCATTTGACAATACACCCGCAACATCAACCTGCTGCCTGCGGTCTGATAAGTAGGCCTAAGACTTAAAAAGATTGAGTTCTGTGGCACGGATACCGTTGTACTCAGTTTATTCAAAAGTAAACCATGGGGAACACAATCAAACGCTTTACTTAGGTTAACTAGAGTTGCCTGAGTAAGAGAGGCGTTTTCATAAGAATTTAGCACATGCTGCACCAAGCGCCTTACCGCATCCGTGGCCATCTACCCGTTCGAAACCCAAATTGCCAATCTTCAGATATTAGGCCATGGTATTCCAAAAACTTCATTAATTGTGATTTTATTATGGTTTCGAACACTTTGCCAATCACAGGAACTAACGAAACATTGCCGAGCGCTTCGAGTGGTGTGCGCCAGAACCTATGGTAATTAGTGATGTGACGAGTTGAGTTGACTCGAGTCAAGACCCGAGTCGAGTCAACTCGAGTCATCTCATTCACAACTCGAGTTGGTACGAACTCGTACGGAGATTGCCGAAGCTACGCGAACTCGTAACGTAACGAGTCCGACTCGCAAAACTTAAACGCTATTGGCTCACAGCCTCAAAGCGAGTCAAGAAACCGAACTCATACGGAGAAAGCCAAACCTTTACGAACTCGGGACGTAACAAGTTGACTCGCTTACGGCCAAGAGCGTCACGGTTTTACAAGTCGACTCGCATAGATTCAACGCTATTGGCGGAACGTGAGTTGAGTTGACTCGTATAACTGAAACCCTATTGGCCGAGTGCGAGTCTGGCGGGATCTGTGTCAGTTCAAATTGTATAATAGAACCCGTACGGAGAATGCTGAACTTACACGAACTCGGAACGTCTATAGTCGAGGCGACTCGACTCATAAAGCTGATACGCAATTGGCCGCTACCGAGTCGGCCGACTCGCAAAAATATTACCCAATTGGTCGACTCTGAGTCGTTGCGGACTCCCATGATGCATTGGTTACGGGTCGAGTTTCAAGTTGAGTCTGACTCGACTCGTAACTCGAGTTCACGGCAGTTGGCGAGTCGAGTCACTCAACTCGTCACATCACTAATGGTAATCGCAGCACAGCTGACGGTCTATATTTAATTATTTTTGACTATGGTAGCAGCGAACGTGTTAAGAAGCCTAAAACAATAGGCCTAGGCCTAACGTTATCATAACCATGAAAATAAAGAAGGTTATATAAGGTAACTTACTTGTCTTTTTCTGTTCCGAAAATAGATGCCAAGTACTCAGCCATTTGGCAAATAAAGTCAAATCAATCAACAATGATGAATGTAGCCTGCAGGCATAAATAAATAAATTGAATTGGCCTGACCTGAGATACACTAATACACTTCACTTCGCTGTTATTCCCAAATAATGGCGACCGGCAAAAAGAAGAAGTATAAATTGGATTGGAAACACAAACACGAAGTCGATCCGAAGTGGAATAGTAGATTCATCGGATGTTTTTCTGTTTTTTTTTCTGACGTCACTCAGATTGCAAACAAAAGATCACCTGATTGTAACTGTCAAATTAGTATGTATTTGTTTTGATTTGATTGTTATTGTTTTTATTATTATAAAAACAATAACAACCATCAAAACAAATACATATACTTACTACATATACTACTATAATAGACTATGCTACTATATGTTATCAATATAGAGGGCCAACAAATAAAATCCACCGAGGGATCCTCAGGGCACTCCTGAGATTGACTAAAATCATCTAAAATTCAGAGGACTATGTGGCTGCAATTTTATAATAATTTTCAAAATATTTTATAGATATCCCGTATGAAAAAACACAAAGGCCTTAAAACACAAATAAAGTAAAACAAAAGCCAGTTCGGGAAATTATATATTTAATCACTTTTTATAGAACAATCATGTTTTGAGCACGGCCGCCTTTGAGGTGACATAGTGTAGCTACATGTTACTTAGCCAAGCCAGCTTTTCAAAGCAAACTACAAAATAAGGAGAAGATAATAGATAAGATAAACATTAAACATAAACATAGCTTAGCAGCGCATAACCTTAACTAACAATAGGAATAGGCCTACAGCAACTGAACAACTAACAACAACATAAATTTTAAATTTACATTTACATAATAATATACCAACTACCAACTTACTTGAGCTTAGACTATCGACTTTGACTACGGGACGGGGTCTGAGTGTTTCAATTACTTATTGATCAATTGATTGACCAATATTTCTTCAGTAAAACTAGGTTATGAATAGGTTCTGGTTAGAATATTACATTAAAAGTTCAGTTCTAGTTTAATTCCTTATTCGTTACTTGGAATCGGAACCAAAGAAAAAGTTATGATCTTAGAGCCTCTATCTTAGAGGATAGAGGTAATAATAGGGTATATTTCTTAAAGACTTTCTCACACCAGTGATTGAGACAGAGTGAAAATGTTTTCCTATGGTAATTCTTCAAGTTACTCTCACAAGTTTATCAAACAAGAAGATCCCATCTCAGAACAAGAAAAATACAAAAGGAAATATAAATTTATGAAAAGAGCCATTAAAGATGTTGTTTTTGTAAGTATCCCATGCAATTTTTTCTAGGTTTAGGGCAATAATAAGTTAACTTATTGCTAGCCTAGTGGTTAGTGTCTCGGACCTCCGTCTGGGGAGGGATGGGTTTGATTCCGATTGGCACATCTACAACACATTAAGTTTATGGGTTTGGATCGCTAACCTAGTATTTGACCATACTTAACCCTCCGAGTGTTTTTGTCGATGCTTCGACACATAACACACTTTGTGTAGGTAGTGTTTTGTGTCGATGCATCGACTCACAAACACTGTTTACGGCGAAGGCTCTATGACTGACAAAATCGGATTGAACTGGATCGAGTTAGGTATCGTTTTATTTGTCAGATTCAGAGCTTTCTCCGGAGGTCTGTCTCTAAGCGCTTTTCATTGTAGTTCCGAAATTATTGTAGCAGAAAGCTGATGTGCGTATTTGTAAACAGCTTGGTTAACCTCGCACCGATGACTGATGTGTTTTATTACGTTTATCATTGTTTTAGTGTTAAAAAGCAAAAGTAGTGATATACGTGGTGCATTATAAGAAGCTTTAAGTGATTTTGAAGGGCTGGTTGATGATCCTGAAGAAGTAGGTAGTGATATTGATGTAAATTATCAGCCTGATTCCTAGCTACGGTTAGGCTATGCATTCTTAGCTAAAGGCTATGTACTGAAATCTGTTTTTTGCCCATAACTTATTTATTTGCAAATCTACTTCTTATATTATTATATATATGTAATTCTTATAAAATTTAGGACAAAGTGGCTATTTTCAAATATTTTGTAGGCCTATAATTTATACAATTTCATTGAGCGCGAACTTATTTTTTTTTCCAAAATATTTTTTTTTTTACCTACAAAATTTTTTTGAAACAAATGTTCCTTATGTTTTATGTATAATATTGAAGCCCATGATTTTCCAAACAAAATGGTATATAGAACAGTATAATTAACATTGTTTTCAAGCTTCTCAGATCCGTTTTAATAAAACCTTGCAAATGAGCAAAAAATAGGCAGACATTAAGGCCAAAACAAGGGATACTCGGAGGGTTAAACCAACTTATTTTCATAGTAGGTGCAGGTTTGGTTGCACAAGGAATGCCAATACATAGCCTAATCTTTACTTAACCCTCCAAGTGTCTCTAGTTTTGGTCTTAATGATTTTGAATAATACTTTGATAAAGGTTTTTATGTTTTAGTATTTAACATTGGAGAATTTAAACGTTGTTAAGTGCACAGGTGTGCTGCGATTGGGGTTTAATACATTTGGACTTATTCAAAAGTAAAATAGTTTTCTGTGCTGCACTCTGTAGAAACACTGTGGCACTATTTCAAATCATGACTAATGCTAATATAGAATTTTGTAATTATTCAAACCTACAAAAAAGTTTGGTGAAAGTAAACATCTGCTTTTAAATTATATTTATTTGTAAACATTGTAGATCAAAAAGTCTGACATTGGCCCACATAAAACCCTCTGGGGCAGAGCCCTTTTGATAGATCTGCACCAAACTTCACTTGAACCATCCTTGAAAGATGCTTAATAATGCCTGAAAGTTTCATTACAATCTGTCGAGCGGTTTCGGAGTCCATAATGTATATACACATACACATAGACAATACATAAATAATGTGTGTGTATATATATATATATATATACACACACACACACACACACATAGTTCCTCTTTTATAGATACTAGATAACCTGTTGCTCGAAATCGAGCAAAACTGCAACTTGTAATACAAAAATAAACAACAAAAACATAAACAGCAAGACCTCAATGAAAGAGTAATTCTAAAGTCTATGACTGATTATAGAAATACGAAAAATATTATGTTGTAACAAATTATAAAACTAACCTACAATATTTAAATATAGATCTGCTCTCATACTGCTTTGGTCATCTCTTATGTATTGTAGGTGGGTCCCCACTATGAGAACGTAGATGTCAACCACACACTGTAAAGTGAGCTTTTCCGGCCTAATGTTGCAAGCCAAATCCCTCTCTTGACGTAAACCAGTACGACACGTAATATAGTACTGTTAAATTATTTCTACGACAGGTTCTGTTTTAGGCGTGTTTAAATTAGGGGCCCCACCAAAGTCTCCAGTTGGGAACATTAGAGGGCAAGCAAGTGGATCTAATGACGTATCTAGAACGGCTTCGCGTTTATCATTATTAGTTTTTGAAAAAAAAGAAAAAGATTTATTTGGTCTGGCGGTCCTCTGTTTTCAGCTTTAAAAATAGCGGCAACATTTATACAGGTCGCATCATTGTAGCGAGGAAAGCCAATTATTTTGTCTCTTATTATGTACATAAGAATTTCCCTTAACTCCTCGGTGCTCTCGTCCCTACACATTTCTGCCTCAGTTTTAAAAGATTGGGCAAATGGGTTGGCAATGTGACCCTATTTCCCACATATTTTTTCATTGAATCTTTCCTTTCAAGTGTTGTGGATCTTGAAATTGTAGATCCCTTGTATGATCCTCTCATCTAAATGAGCTTCAGAGCTGACCATGGCAAAGGCGGAATTGAATTGACAACTTTTATTCTAATAATTTCTAGATCCAAGCCTCACAGCCCTGATTTCAGATTCGGAGTTTCCAATAAGTTCCTGAAAGTATGGTGAATTCCTCTGATGATGTAAATGGTTCTCTCATTTATGGCAACAAAGAGTAACAATTAAACTGTATCGGCCAGACTCTTTTTTTTTTTTTGCTTAAAATGTAAGCCACCACAATGTAGCCTAAACATTTAACGTTCATTTGTCCAAGGTTAGATGTATCCCACACGATGGTTGCAACTCTGTAATCTTCAAATGATACATTAGGAGATTGATGCAAGCGGCTACGTTCGCGTTTCCTCCAGCCACTCACAGTCTTCGTCTTACTGGTGGCATATTATTTTAAATTTAGATAAATTACGAAAGTAAACCAAACAACAGAAAACACTACAACGGAATTGTTATACACATTGTAAATTACATGATATGGTGATGTAACTGTACTGGAAATAATCACTTTCAAACATTCATTTCAACACACCAAACTGTAACCAAAACAACACAATAATTCAGTAAAATACGATGTAAAGTAAATACATTCAACTGTTTACAAACTATTTGTTGTCAAGTCTTGCTAAGAAACTCTTTATTTAAGAAACAGATTTAGTTAACAGATGTTTTGATAAAAATATAAAATTCCGGCTTTGCTCTGGAATAAATAAGTCCTGCAGCCTATGGTCAAACTTAAAAACTAAAAAGAATTAAATATTTTTTCTTAAACACTCTGTTGTCTAGTATTGATAGGATGCTCTTCATTATGAACCAGACTTAGTTAACAGATTGAAACAAAATATAAATTCCAGCTTTGCAGTCCTGCAGTCTGTGGTTAACCTTAAAAACTATTTCAAACTACGTCCATATGTTATTTGTAAACAAAGGGAAATTTAAGTTTGATCAAATGTCAACAGATGGCGCCGCCTTCCAAACTTTAGCCCTTAGCTGTACCATAGATAAAACATTAATGGAACAGCTGAAGACAATTTTATTGTTAGTTCTGTACGGTTTATGTAGAGGTCGTGTTTTGTTTACAATTTGTTTCCCGTTAATACAGTAATTTAAAACCTCGTTTAACCAAATAATACGATCTAATCATAAACAATACATTGTCCCCTAGTTATTTAACCAAACAGTAAAGCACAAATCAAGAAATTAACCCTAAAATAATAGAAACAAAACTTCATCGACACTAGCGCCCAGTGTGGCGTACATGAACTAGACATGAAAAACGAGCTTCAAAATTTACAATGGGATGAGAAGTCTACTTGTGTTGGTTAGTCTATGGCTGTACTTAAGTGATGCCCTTTCTTAGTATTCTGAGACGTATTTGCACATCTAGGTGAAAATACCTTTAATTTGACACCTCGAACTTTAAAATCCATCAAGCCGTTATTGAGTTATGACTGTGAAAAGAAAACTGCTTGCGTATTAATATATAGAGGTGAAAATACCTTTAATTTGACACCTCGAACTTTAAAATCCATCAAGCCTTTATTGAGTTATGACTGTGAAAAGAAAACTGCTTGCGTATTAATATATAGATAGATAGTATTTTATAATTCTTGTTTATTTGCCAGGAAAATGCAGCATTGTGTGATCAAGTCACATTGATGGAAGAAAAAATACTCCTTGTTAAAGAAGAAAGAAACTATCTTCTCAAGAAATTGCAGATGTTCAATGGCATCACAGGTAGATTTTCTTCTATCAACAAGTACAGTGTTTGGGAGGTGTATATTTGTTTTATGTTGATTTTTGTTTAAAGTTACGGTGATACGGATGGTCTACCTATTGTTATTGTTTAAGATTCAAATTGGAATTTTCCAAAGATGTTTGGAAAAAGTTCATTCACTTTTTACCAAAAGTTAATGGTAGCCTATATATTACCATAGACAAATAGAATAAATAGAGACTATCAAAGGAAGGTTCCGGTGCCCACCCTAGGGTTTGCCGTGTAGTTACGGCGCACACCGCTGCAGGCGGGGAGCGCAGGAGCCGTATGCGACTAGCAGACGCTGCAGCGGTGTGCGCCGTAACTACACGGCAAACCTAGCGGTGGACACCAAAACTTCTGCTAACTGCAGCACAGCTGACGGTCTATATTATATTTTTGTCTATGATATTACCCTCTACAAGGCAGAGTCTAAGTAGCTGTAAACAGTGTGAGCATCATAGTTAAATTTCTTGTGGATACCAATTACACCTTTCCAGGTGAGTTGCATAAACAATACTTTTTACCACATTACTCACGACAAATATACATGATAAGTGAGACACCACCCATAGTTCACAATTTCTATAAGAAAGAATGTACTAGACATAGGGCCCTTAGACTAACATTACACCATCATTACCCTAACCTTTGAGCTTGTTCCATTTGATTTACTTTTGTAAATGTGAGTGTAGAATTTCACACATTTCTTCATTGTAATTTATCTCTTGTAATTAATTATTTTTTTTATTTTAACAATACATTACACAACAGCAGATGCAAAAAATTTGATTCAAGCTAAATAGTTTGCCTGACAGCATTTGTAAAGCATGGTAGCTTTGGTGAGGGTCTACTTATATTTAATAAGAAAGTATAAAGTATAAAAGTATGCATTTTTTAATACTTCTTTCATTGGAACACTTTGGTTCATTAAATCTCACCTGTGAGAGCAAGTGAGATGAGACTAACAGTTTATAGTCTTTACATTTATGAAACAATAATTTATGCAAAACAGATCCAACTATCATCCACCTCAACAGACAATTAATATAACACCAGATTACAAACTAACCTACCTCGGCATAATCTCGAATTTTACACTAATAAGACATCTTACATAGTTTTATAAGAACTCCCTGCTACTCAGTAACAGACTTCTTCAGTATTAGTAAAAAACAGTTAACTTAATTTGAATTCCAAATACTGTAATTCATTCAATCATGGTTTTGTTAAAAGTAAAAATAAAGTACTTAGTACTCTTTTTATGTATCCTATTTATTTAGCTGTTAGCAATTTTGAATTTAGTTAATGACTAATCAAGTTCATGTAATGTGACACTATAACGAATAAAGAATGTTTTGACTTGACTGTAAATATTACAATGTGAATTTGAACTAATGTTAGTTATATTTCTTCTTATTTAAGTTAGTTTGGGTGCTGGGTCAGTTGATTAATCAAAAAATGTTTTAGAAGGTGAGCAAAACAACTTTAGTCGAAGCAGTCCAAATGTTGACCATTCCATTGGCTCTGGCACTAAGAAACCACTTAACAAGAAACGTTCTTCGGAATCTACAGGTATTGCCTACTATCATTTCTATAAAAATTCAAAATTTAGACTTGTTAGACTTGGAATTCTGGGAAAAACTGGAAGCTATCGTACAAATTGTGTAAATTTGTTGTGGGTGAATTTTAAAATTTCACCATGAAGACCTGATTTTAGTGCCATTTATGTTGTAAGACTTAAGAAAAACTTAGAAGGGTGCATTTTGTAGTAACATATTTGCTTGTGTAAACATTCATGAAACTCCGTTAGTGCACGAAAACCCTGACTGTTAAAACATTGTTATCATTGTCTCCGGTCACAGCAAAATTGTGAACATCTTCTACCGTAACGGTAAAATTGAGCTGTCATCCATGATCACGACAAAATCATGAACATTTTCCTAGGTTATGGCAAAATCTTGAATACGTTCCATTGTCGTGGCATATTGACAACAAAATCTCGAAAATGTTCCTTGGTCACAGCATCATAATCATCATCTCCCATGATCAAACAAAACCATGAACCTTACCCATGATCGCGACAAAATCTTCAATATTCTATCTCACACTCCACAAATACTTTCCACACTCGATCCGAGCTTGGCCCTTAAATCGTTTTATAACCTAACTGACCCCTCTGGCCCCACAGACCCAGGTAAAAACCTACATTTGGTGACCAGCAGAAATAGGTTTTGCTACAGGGAAAATGCATGAATTTTTCCCCCAGGAGTTCTGTGGCCACCGCAAACACTAGATTAATGCTAGTGTAGCTCCTTATTTTGGTGTTTTAAATCATATGAGATCTTAAGTTTTTGGTTAAATCCAAACGTAAGAATCACTTGAGAGAAGCGGGTATATGTTAAGAACCTAAACATTATAACTTTATTAAACCTCCTTCAACATTAAAGCTAAGCTCATACATTATTTAGAAAAGATTTATCATAAATATTTGTCTTCAGCCTTTTTTCAATATCTAACACTATTTCAAATCTGTTTTTTGTTTTACACTAAACATCATCATAAAACGGTACTTTAGAACAGGTAAAGCCAACTTTATCCATAGCTATAATTCCACTTATGTGAAAACTTAAAAGGTCTTAAGTCATTCCTAGTGATAAGACAGTTTAATCAGAGTATCAGGAGGACTGAGCGTTGCTCGGCGTCACCTTTTTACTATTACACGCTTGGTTGTAAGGATAGTATCTCACTGTTCTCCAGCCATAAATTAAAATTAAAAACCTCTTTGTTTTAAGGTTTGTTTATAATCAGCTGTTATATTTATTTCTATTATTGTTTATTATTCTCCATGAAACACGTTTTTAGGTCAGAAATCAATCTTATTTACAACATTATTTGAAGGAAATTGTCAAAGCCGTTTTCGAGATCTTTGTGCAAGCGCATACAAGCAAACATTGCCCATATAAGAGTATAGGATTGGCTGTACTAATCAGGTGGTCATTGATTGTTTCTTTGATAATCAGACAGCATGAAGAGTGCAAGCAAAGCAGCTAAAAAGTCACCAGCTACGAAAAGAAAAAAAGTTCTACACACAATTCCATTAGATATCACCGGGCGGCCCAAGTTCCCTATCAAGTTAGGAGACTTGACTGTTCACAGTTTAGGAGAGGTTGGTAGTAGTAATATTGTCATAAATTTATCCTACTAGTTCTTTATGTTTAGAAATTGTAATCAAAGAATTTAATTTTGTACCGTATGTAGTTTTTTTTTGTTAATGTCTTAAGCGTTGCTTAGTTGATCGGGCTGTCTATCAGTGTATTTAGGTCTAATAGTGATTCTAATTGTGGCTACCATGGAACATTTTTGTGTGTATCCCATGGACTCATTCCTAACAGCTGAATCTCTTTTAAAAATTCCTCGTCAACCACTTCACGTTCCTTTAAATACAAATCTTTTAGCGAACGGAGTGCCACGGTGTAGAAAAAAATTGTGTCCGAAAACAATTAAGTTAACAGCTGTTGTTGGTTACTTTTGATAATCTTGCAGGGTTGCCACCAGCCATGAAAACCTTGAAAAGCTTGAATTATGCATGAATTCTTGAGACCATGAAAAAAGGCATGGATTATGCATGGATTTCTCAATTGGACCATGAATTTTCAAAATCAGGAACAATTATTCGACCAGTACCCAGTACCATTAAATTTTCCAAATAAAAAATATTTTATATTTAAAAACAGTTCATAGAAACGAACACCATGAAAATACTGTGTGGAGATGATTATTTAACATGTTCCACGGTCAGAAACAATTACTTATTTCATTCCAAGTCATTCAAAGATGCTGATGTCAGCTGAGACTTCCCGAGGACTGTATATGGTTCGAAAAATCATTAGTAGGCGAACCCCTGCGTATGAAAAAGGGGTATGGGGACTTAAATTACAAAAACAGAAGTTTTAGACCATGCACGGAATTGAAACGGGGTGCTCAATAAAACCAAATTTCCGACACTGACGGCTGATTTTTTTAGCTTTTTGGATAAAACCATCATATCTTAGTACGTCGTGGAATAAGATAAACCAGAATGCACATTTTATGGCAATTATGTAGGGGGATAAAACTGGATGAAACAGGACTTTTTTGGCTGGGTGAGTTGGGATTTTTGTTTTATTACAGTGGAAAGACTGAATAAGACCTAGACTTAATATATTTTTCAATTCTTCTCCAATATCTCATATAGAATATGAGCTGGACCAGTTTTGTTTTGAACTTTGTTTTGAATGTTTATAAATCACTCTAAAACAGTTGTATATTAAGTATGAAAGGTTAGTCAAAAGTAACACACAAAGAAACTGCCTCTTTAACGTCAGTTTATGAAATCGAAATCAGCAAAACTCAATTGTGTTGAAATTGTATAAGTGCATCGACCATGATTTTTTTGTAAACTACCAATGAAAACCATGAATTCTGCATGAATTATATCATCCCACTGTGGTGGCAACCCTGTCTTGGCAACACTTATTTAGTTAAAAAGTCAAAAGACACATGTACAATCTGAAGTCTAGGTTTCAAATAAAGAAACTAAATAGTTATGCTTAATATGTACAGTTCCACTGTGTCTGCTCAAATTGCAATCCATGTTCAACTCTGCTTATGATTTGTCATGATAGGTGTTGACAGACAGACCGGAGTATCACACAGATGACTTGATATTTCCGGTTGGTTATTGCTCCACCCGCACCTACGGCAGTCTCAAAGACCCAGAGAAACAGTGTGTGTACACATGTACCATACTGGACGGTGGTACTAGCCCCAGGTAGGATTACAATAATAATTATCCTTGTTCTTCACTCTGGAGTGCTAAGAGCTCAGTAAAAGACGAGCGTAGATTGTGTTTCTCCTTATTTGGAACCTTGAAGAATCAATTTTTGGAATAAGCTTGTAACAAAGTTCTGCAAGCTTGAATAAAGTCAGGGATATTAATTGCATATATTTACTTCCTCGACTGTGTTTGAAGATAGTTAAAGTAAATATTAAAAACAGTGATGTAATGCAGAACCAACCATTGGGGCGACCATCTAATCTTTTTGAAAGGATTGTTGCATTTTTTTATAGCACAGTAGACCTATTTCATACTCATAATCTCAATACTACCTGCCTAGTGTTTAAATTTTGTTAGACAGCCAATTTTATTGATATAGACATGTTTAATTGATAGCCCAATGACAATTGACATCTGGGCCCAGGAATTTCTTAACTTTGATTTTAATGGGTAGGAAGAGAATTGTTAATATTCTGCCTCATTAACCAAGAGTTAAGTACTTGTAGAAGTACAGGACAAGCGAGACTACATAATTAATTTAAGACTGTGTCATTATACGTTTCTGTGTAGAAAATAATACGGTGCCTATTACCTAATTTCCTTAACACGATGCCCATCACCCGTCACACTGCTCTGTATTGGTAGTCTTGAGTAAACTGGTGGTGATTGTGTTAATCAGGAAATTTCCAATGATGCTACTGGAAAATATTTTTCGAGTTCAATGTGTGGATTTTTCTTGAATGTATATAATAAAATGTTTTCAGGTTTGAGATAGTGGCTGACTCAGACCTGAAGGTTATCGGTGGTTACTCACTGGACGAGTGTCACGCTCAGCTGTTACAAGAGATCAACAGAGTGGTCGGGACTGAGGTAGTCAACACTAGAGGTAGGGGTGCAGACTTCTTCGGGCTCTCACATCCGACCATCCACCACCTCATTCAGAGCTCTCCGGGCGTGCGCAAATGCCATGGTGAGTGGATAGAGTAGGGTATTTTCCTCACACACACAGTGCATACTTAATGGTGCATATGCGACACTGCATCACAGACAAATCCATGTGGCATAGGTTAATAATACTGTCAAACGCTAAGCATTCCAGCTTGGGAAAACAAGTGGGTTTCAACACGCAATAGTTATACTGTGTTTTTAATATGTACTTTGAAATGGCGAACATACGAATGTAGCTATTGGTGATTGGTCATATTTTTTTTTGAACCCCCGAGACCTTGGACTCTGAAGCCACAAGCTCTACCAGCTTACTCGCAATATTACAGATTATACTACTAAGGAATTGTTTTAGTATGAAATTTTTCAGGCTACCCTAACCGTGAAACTAAGGAGCCTAACCTAAGTAACCTACCTAAACAGAATTTGTAAATATTATAACATTTCAACTTTACAAACATAGTGGGACAGAAAAAATCTTAGAACAGTTAGAACTTGACATTTCATCCAAAGTTCCAGATTATCCTACGACTCAAAACAACTGCATTAGAACATGGTGTAGCACACTTTTATTTTCCAAAGATGGAATGCATAGCATTAGATAAAGTATATTATACAGGGCAGGTGAATGGGATTTGTCAAGGGTGTGCAAAAATATGTGAACATGTTTTGTATACAAGTTTTCTGACAAAACAATTTGTTCAAAATATTTTGCGCCACCTTGCATAGAGTGCACCTAGTCCAGGTTCTAGTAACATCAGCCCTGAGAGTAACCACTCAGAGTATTTCACAGTAGTCACCACAAAGATGCTAAATTAGTCACAAAAAAATCTAGGAATCACAATGTAAAAGGTAATTAATGTTTTGTGCCCATAAGGCTACGTCTGGACCAAGTTTGACCTGAGCCGAGCGTCGGAAGGTTTGGTGATTCCAGAGCAAGACGCCGCACTCAGCTACGAGGCTCTTCTGAGAACAATCAACTTCACTCGAACACACCTCATCAAGCAAGAGCCTGAGGACAGTTACGGGGAAAATAACGTGACCACTTTCCAGAATCTACTGCTCAATTAGCTTTGGGAATTTCAATTGTATTATGAATTTGAAAGGAAAAGCCTAAGTGGCTGGTAAAGAGTTTTCCTAAAGGGATGAAGATGCTTACCTGAGAAAAATAAGATTCCAGGGGCTGATAGATTTACAAATAAAATATCACGTAACGTAACACTTATATTACGTCCTAATGAGTGATAAATAATTACTCACAATTATTTAAATTCATTAAAATAAATACACTCTGGTCCTATATTATGACAATATATCAGTGTTATGTTTTTGTTGATTTTTATTTGTGTACCTTATCTAAGTTCTAGACTATTTACTCAGGTAAGTTAGCTAAACTCTGTCCCTTTACAAAAACACTTGTAATATAAGTGTATCAAATGGCACATTCAACCAACATCATGCAATCACTTATTTTAGGTTGTGTTGGAAAATCAATGTAATCAAATTGTAGGACAGTAAAAATTAGTCCATTTGCACTCGAGATTACAGTTTGTTTTCTGTTTTCCCATGCAGTACACTAGGATCATAAAGGTGAAAAAATAATATTATGTACATTTATTTGATACTGTATATTGCAAAAATAGTTGCAAGAGGCACAAATTACAGTTAACAATAAATTATCTCCAGTTGTAAAAAATTTTAATCAGAAGTATAAGGTGCTCTAATGGGATTGTGCCAGTAAAATTGTTACTTTTATATCTAAAGCACATTTAACTATTAATAAAATTCGTCATTGGCACAAAAAACTGAACAAAGGTAACGAGACTCTATAGTTTGTTTATACATTTTGAAGGTGAAACCCTGAATTTCATTCTGAATTAAGAATAAAGATATTGCACAACAAATAGAATAAATGCTTTGCGACCAAAACAGCAGGAAGGATTTATTGAGCATCGACATACTAAAGAATAAAGAACAAAGGATCAAGATTCTTAGAACTTCTAGGGGTATCTTGTGACCAACAACATGTGGCATTTGACTAGTCTTGGAAACAAAAATGATCTGAGATTGTGGTTGTAATATTGCTGCAGTAAAAATGTGTATATAACAAAGTGTTTACAACGTTAAATGGTCTCTATTATTAACCAGTTCTCAGAGAAGTAAGGTACAGAGGACATGTTCAATGGTACATTCAAGTGGTGTCTAGCACTAGTCGCTGGTGTCTAGGGCAAAGACCAACACCACATCCTTCGCCATGATGTACTATAATGCTCTCATTGGAGGAAGACCCTGTGCGATAGGAATTTCCGCCCAGTGCTCAGTAGCTCAGGCTCTTAGTTGCCCTTCACAAGGCAGTATATTTCCGGTGCAAGATTCTAGAGATGAAATTGCACTGTCTTATAATTAAGTTAACTCTGAGCCTTAATTCTCTGTGGCCAGTTGTAAAGAATAGCAACATTAGAACTGCAATATGTTACAGGGAGATTGGCGCATCTAAATGATCAACCCTAAATGAATAGTTTCTCAGTCAAGCTACACTACTACATTGAGCTATATATTGTGCATGTTCATTCTAAATTTAAATATCATACAAACAGTAAAACAGATTTTAATGTATTTTAAAAACATAATACACAGGAACTTTTATCTGACTCCAGCTCATTCTGTTTTCCTAAACGCTGTTTCAGTCCCCTGTGCATGTATTAAAACAGTTGGTTTCACTGCAATGTAACAAAAACATTTTTTCCTACAGTCACCCGAAAAAGTTGGCTTCCTTGTACTGTTTATAGTACAGAAAGCTGCTAATTGCTGCATATTTATACTCTGTCGTACAGTTTATACTTCGGCGCACATCAGGATTCCAACGAAACGACACAAAACAGCGTGGTTCTTTTATGCACGTAATCCGTGTACGCTTGGAAATAGGTTGGCAACACAAGATAATAATACTATGAGCAGCTGATTGACAATTATAACAACGATTTAACCTGTCATTTTGTGTTTATAGTTTCGGTATTTCTGAACTTTCTGGACTTTTCTTTTAAACGTTTTTAAAACATTACTACGTTCTTAATAAACAAGAAAATACCTTAAAAGCATTTTTTTAGGCGCGGAAACCACTTCAAATTACAAAAACATACGGAACTATTTTCTCAAGTCGCGGAGCACATTGCTTGCCGAGGAAAAAATAGCGGAGTGATACGGACCGGTGACTACTCTCTCTAGGGCACCTATTTGTGTTGCCAGCTGAACCTAAAAACGTGTTGTATAGTGTTTGATAGACTAATTATTTATATGCTTTATAGTGACTGTAGGAAAAATATAATGTGTAATCGAGATCATTGCTCTCGTGTGCAGCAAAGTGCCACTTTGCTCACTAGTTACACAAATAACTATTGTATTAAAAACAGTTGTTTTCACTGCAATGGAAGCAAAACATTTTTTGCCTGCTGCTGGCCTTTAGATTGTTTATATTGGCTAGTTTCAACTTTTAGGCCCATTTCAAATTCATCCGATAAAATCAATTAGTAATGCGAGCAAGAACAGGTCGGCATTATAGTAACAAGACCAGGGTTTGGACCATTACCTTTCAAAACCAAACATTAAAAAATGCCACTTACATGGAGGTACACAAAAACTGTAATTATGTAACTGTAACATTTTTTTAATTTAAATAAAAAAGACAGCAGTCAGTACAGCTGACTAATTAAGACCACCAAAAATAGTCTCTTACCAAAAACTAAGGGTTAGCCGCCTAAAGGTACGTTTTGCCTGAAGCGACAGGTGCGACGGTCGCGCAGCGACTGTCGCCGAGCGGCAGTCGCGGGATGGTAGACTGTTTTGCTTGGAGCGACAACTTCTATGGCGTCACGAGACGTGGTACCGTCAGTGCACCTAACCTCAAAAGTGCTCACTAAGTATAAAGTCACTAAATAAAATCGATAAATTCACTTAGTAAAACAGGTAAAACTTAACAAATAAAGTATTCCTTATAGGCCTAGTTATTTGTTATAAGAAACATTCCAAAACTGCCATGTCACAAGCCAAAATGTAATAAAATTACTCAATTTCTCCGTAAATTGCAGTACACAAGCATAACTTGAATTGGAAATCAGTGTTATAAACAACCTCCTCACAGAGTGAAAATTATATTTTATTGATTGTATTGTAAATGAAAAAAAATACCAATTACATTATATACTCCATTAATATTTGAATAACCACATTACTTTAATAATTGGCATTTTATATATTTAAATATAACACGCCTGACTTTTAAGCCAATTTGATCAATAGCCATTTATACAGAGCAATATTTTTTTGAATCACCTAAACGAAAATTTAATTAGAAGTCTTTTAAGTCGACAATCTAAATAACCTAACTTACTAATATATTAAAATAACTTGTAAAATAATAAGACCAAAGAAAAAAGGACAACGTCAGGTTTAAACTAACCTGACGTTGTCCTTAATTCTTTGGTCTTTGTAGGAGATATGTTTCAAATCATAAAGCGCGGGGTATTTTGCCACTTCTTCTAATAAACTGTCGTCTTCTTCACCACTAAAATTTAACTTAATCACAGACGTTGGCCAACGCCATATAGCGAAAATAAAAGGTTACCGAACTTGTCAGAATGGTGTACACTATAAAAACAATCAGAAATGTAACTGTCGCTAAGCGACTGTCGCTCCTGACTGGTCTTGGAGCAGTACCCAGCGACTGCAGCTCGCGGCTCAAGCGACAGTAGCTCCAAGCAAAACAGGACTATGCAAAACCCCTAAGATCAGTGTCCCGCGACAGCCGCTTAGCGACAGTCGCTGCGCGACCGTCGCACCTGTCGCTCCAAGCAAAACGTACCTTAAGTAATCAGTTAGCTTTGCTTAGCAATAATTACAAGTTTCAACAGACTTTATTTTACAGACACTATTTTTTCATAAATACAAACACATGTACATGCCATTTACCTATTAGCTTTATCAGTCTGCAAGTCAATCAAAAATGTGCCAAAAAATACTTTGTAGTCGCATGAAAACAACTCACAAGTAGAAAATCTATGTTTTCAGTTTTGTTAAGTCATATTGTATAGTATACTGGAAGCAAGATGCATAATTTAAATTTCTTTAAGTTTGGTCCATGAGTGAATTAGATTTACTGTAGGCCTAACTTAACATGTATTTCAAAATTGAGTGACAAAAGCGTAGTAACAAAAAAAGTAAAAAAGCAACAATCAATTATTGTAAACATTATTTACATTATTTGACACAGTAATGTACAAATAAATTAAAAATCTCTTATTAAACTACAAATCTTAATCTATCACCACAGTTCACTTATTTTAAATAAAAGGAACATGCATTTCAAATATCCTAAATATATATTTTCAATTTAAAATCAACATACACAAAAAAACAAATCCATAAAGCAAGCACAGTAAAGAATGTACAAATCATAAATGTTGATGGAAAGTGTAAGCTTACAGCGTCAACCAAACAACCAAGATTCTTCTTTTTGAATTCAGATAGTATCATTTAAAATGGGCCACTGCTAAAAATTAAAGCAAAATTAAATTTCTAAATTGTTTTGAAATCAATGCTATAGTATTTTCAAATTTTAAACAATAAAGAAAACACACATATTTAATACCTAGACAATATCTTGAAATAAATCTCTATGACTTGTCAGATTTTAAAGCTTTTTTAATCAGTTTATAGTAAAAATTAATAAACCAATCCAAAATTATAAATCACACACAAGAAAAAAAAACTATAACCAAATATAGTTACAGTAGTTTTCAGTACATAGTAATGACGTAAGTAATACAAAGTATGTATTATATTTGTAGACAGATACTTCATAAAATAATTAGAAAACTGTTTTTATTAAGCAACACCACTGATTCAATAACTTGAATATAAAAATAGTTAATGGACTAAAATAGCATATTATAGGTGTTTACAAAAGGCATTAGCATACGGCGTGAAAATTAAATCAAGAACCTCTTTTTTAAATTTAAATCAACAATAAAAAAAACCAAAGTTCACACGTGTTAACTGGTGATATTAACACACACATATGCTTAATTACCGACCGGACAACCCCTTTGGGGGATGGTCCACAAGGAGTCAGACAAAATTCTTAAATAGCAGCATAGGTCGAGGTTGGTATCAAATTAAAGGTCTCTGTTGGTAAAATAATACATTGCCTCAAATCCGAACTCAAACGGACAATGGCACCTGCTAGAAGTCGGATGAAAATCATAAACGTAGGCATAGGTCGATATGCACATCACATTACAGGTAATTAATAGAATACAATGCCGCAAATTTGAGCTCAAAACATCAGCTGGGTAAAAAATGACAGCCGTTCAAAGATTCAAAATGGCAGATTAAAAAAATATTTGAACGGCTGCCACTTTTGACTTGGTTGTCCGTTTGAGTACGGATTTGTGGCGTTGTATTTTCCAAACGTAGACCTTTAATTTGATACCAAACTCGACCTATGCTGCCACTAAGAATTTTGTCTGACTCCTTGTGGACCGTCCCCCAAAGGGGTTATCCGGTCGGTAATTGGGCAGATGTGTGCGTTACTATCCCCAGTAAGCACGAGTGAACTTTGGTATTTCTTTCTATTGGGGTTTAAAAATTAAAAGAGGTTCCAGACTTAATTGTCACCCTGTATATTTGTTTATTATTGTAAAATACTTATTTTATGTGTTAAAACTTGTAATAAAATATAGAGTTTGCGTAAAATGTTAAGAAAATTTACGTATGAGGAAATTTATTTTTACCATAATACAAAATACACAGTCTTGTATTATTATACTGTATTAACATGATTGATTTGACAACAAGAACAAAAAAATACCTTCTCCGCAGAGAACCTACATGCTGATAAATTAAATTTCCATCTGCCTTGACTAGATTTTCTCTAAAATATCTCCTTAAAAATTTAAGATTTATTCCCCATTTAAATAGCATTAGTTTAATGAGTAGATAGCTTTGCTGCTACAGGGAAGAAAATACAGTGTTATTTTAGTGAAATAGTAATAGTAGGAAATATTAAATTTTCCAAATTTGATCAAAATATTTTCATGAACAAGCAAACTACAACAGTTTAATCATCCATAAGAATAACATGGTATTTTAAATTTTTAGTTTTTTAAGCTGTACAAAATAATTTGGAAAGAAATTGCAAAATTTTATGTTTTTAGGGTTAAACATTTTTTTTAAACCTATTTTTACCACATAAACACCAATTCCCATAGTCTGATCATGCTGGTTCATGACCTTGTTCAAATAAATGTAGGTTTTCACGTTCATACAAAATTTCATCAAAATCGGATAAAAAGAAAAAGTTAAACAGTCCCTGGTCCTGGTCTTGCCAGACCTACAGTGATAAAAATGCCCTATATGAGAAATTCGCTAAAATGAAAGGACAGGTAACCTAACCAGTATATTTATGTATCTAAATCTACAGAAATCGGGCTGTAATTCTATGTTTGACTGACAACTCTTTTTTACTGTAAATTTTTTAGTAAAATGGTGTTTATCACTGAGCTTATTTTGGATCATTTGTTAGCCTACTTTCACAAATAAGGCTAAGACTGAATCGTTGTTGGATTAAAAGTAATCTATCATGTATCGATTTTGGATAATGTACAAGTCATGCCCTCGATGACAACCAAAGAATTGTTCAAGTACTTATGCAACCACCTGAGCTATTCTACTAATCATGAATGAGGTTTACAATAGCAGTTTTAAGTAAAATCAAATGTCATACATATTAAAAATAATTACATACTTATTACTGTAAAATATATTTTGGTCATACACATTTCTTTCATCTGGAAAATCAATTCACATTTTTTTAAATTCAAATTTTTAAAGTTGGCAAAATATGTAAAATTATATGGTAACCATATCGATCCATAGTGTGACACAAATACCAGAATAGCAAATTAAATTCTACTTTAAGGGACCGAATGTGCAAATTTAATAAGCACTAAACGCCAACGTACTAGGAAAAATTTCTCAGTACGGTATATGTGGTAGATCTAACAGCTAAATCTAGTAATAATGACTATTAAGTCTAAATGAAACTCTTAATGGTAAATATAACAACCACTTTTCATACAACCACATCTGATTATTGCATTTGCTGAAATTAATTTTTTACGATTTTATTATTACTATAACAAAATTTAGAATTAAATCAATACAAGTCTTATTTGTAGGTTGAGGGTGGTATCAGAGTAAATTAGGTGTAGGGATGTGTCAAATCCGAATTTTGAATCCACCGAATCCTGAGGAAAGATTCGGATTCAAGATTCAAAGATTCGAAAATAAACATTTTTTTAGAATAGAATAATAAGGCATGTACTGCGACATTGCATAACCATAAAGGTTATTGACGTCGTAATACTCGTAGTATACAGTACTGTGACATTGACTAACCATAGAGGTTATTGACGTCGTAATACTCGTAATATACAGTACTGTGACATAGACTAACCTTGGAGGTTATTGACGTCGTAATACTCGTAATATATAGTACTGTGACATAGACTAACCTTGGAGGTTATTGTCGTAGTAATATATAGTACTATGACATTGACTAACCATAGAGGTTATTGACGTCGTAATACTCGTAATATACAGTACTGTGACATAGACTAACCTTGGAGGTTATTGTCGTAGTAATATATAGTACTATGACATTGACTAACCATAGAGGTTATTGACGTCGTAAAATATAGTACTATGACATTGACTACCCATAGAGGTTATTGATGGCGTAATATACATAAAGTATTGTGTGTGACATTGCCATTTTATGAACAGAGTATACTATCAATCAACAAATTTAAAATTAACATGTGTACCTACAACAACCATAAATAACCAATAATGAATATTTGCCGTCCAAATAAAGTATACCGACCGATTGTTCGATTTAGGTTAATAGATTAAAAAATGTAACCGATTAGTTGTCTGTTATTTTTAACGTGTGTCAAAAGTAATAACGTAACTTTTCATTGCAATGAGTAGTCATTTATGGTTAGTGTTATATTTATTTTTAAATGGTTCCTATTCCATTCTTGCTTTTTTAATCATCATAAGACCATTTTTAATCACTTTTGGTATTTGAGATTCGAAGATTCGAGATTTGATTTTTTTAGTTTTCGGATTGGTATTCAAGATTCAAAATTCCTGGATTTAACCATCACTAATTAGGTGTAATACTTGTTTTTGTCACAACATGTCACGGTAATTCAGTTTTGAAGTACGCCAAAGAGAGATATTGAGTATGTTATGTTTAGAAAATGTTGGCCTACTCTACAATATAAAAAAATTATCCCAAACTATACCAACTTTATAATTACAAAACAAAATCAATAAAACTAAGTTGCTTTTGCGCATTTATCATTCTGTAAAGTGTAAATAGATGAAATCAGATGTGGTAGTAAACTTTGATACTTCACTTGCATTATGATTCTTGATGAAAGACACAAGCGTAGTTAAGTACAATGACAGAATCATCTGATAACAGCTCTAGTTCCAATGGTGCGATTGAACAAAGCGTTGGAGATTGTGATCACAGGTGAAAATAGCTTCAGTCTTGTGTCGCTGCAAACATTTAAAGTGTCTGTGATAAACAGTATAATAATAGATGCAAAATACAAAATAATAGCTGATATACAGTGGTTCCTTGATAGTCTGATAGATAAAAGGGCCGGCAGTACAAAAGTACCTAATAACAAAACATAATTGTATACAAGAGGTTAAGTTACCTTGATTCTGTCCAAGTAATCCTTAAGTCGTCATTAGTGCATTTTATCGTTTTTTGTTTGTGTACGTGTTATGTATTACATGTTTTTCAAGACTCATGACGACCTCCTAGGAGCGATTTTTACGTCCAGCTTGACAATGATGCCATAGACATCGAAACCGGTCGCACTACAAGTAATCCGGAAGGCAATACACAAGATGAAAACATAATTGGTTGAAACTAGGCTACTAAAAGGACAGGACATAAGATTGGGGAGAAAACTAGATTTGTGTCCAACATAGGCTTATTGTTTCTGCTGATGAGACTGCCGAAGGCACGTAACACTTCCACGTACGCCGGATAAAAAGTGTCAGATTATCAAGGGGTGACTGCAATCTTCAACAAATTAAGATTATTTTCATACAAGTAAAACTTATCATCAACTATGCTAAAGTGTAAGTTTTCCAAAAGAGATTTGATGCCTTGCAAACAGCATGAGAGGTGATCAAATATTTAATAGTTATTAGCTACTTACTCGTTTATATTTACTACTGACTACATGGACAAGCAGATTGTTGAAAGTTAACACTTCACAAAATTTATTAATGATGCATTGAGTGTAGTTCACCAACATTTTATTTGAGTTATTTAAGAAATTAAGACAGATGACTGTCTTTATTATGCATTGAGGCTTATTAATGGAGAATATAGGTAAAAACTACTTAGATTAATTTGGAATCTATATCAAATGTAACCGTTTCCTTCCTAATCTTTTGCATTAACTTTTACATTTTTTAATTTTAGACTGGTATCATATTTATTTATTGTACATACCAAACATTCGTGACAGGATCTGCTTCATTGCCGCTAATGATAAAAAGTGGAAACAGAATGGAGAATATGCAGCCGCTGGAACAAATAAATCACTGTTTAGAAAACTCTGACTGTAAACATGTGAAAGTGCAGCTTAATGCTTCAGCAATTCTCACGTTATTCAATTCAATTCAATTCAACATTCTTTATTTCATTATTGTACATGAAATTAGTACATAGAATTGCATCAAGTATATTGTCATAATCATAAGACTAAATTAAAAACTAAACATACTAAAATTCTTCTAAAGAATACAGTGGTCTTGAAATTAAATAATTCTTTAGCAATTTTTTAAACTTAATAATACTAACTTATTTTTTAATGTTATCTGGTAAATTATTATAAAATTTTCCTCCAGAATATGTAGTTTTCTTTTTGTAAAATTCTAGTTTGTGAATAGGCATTGATATGTTTAGCCTATTTCTAGTATTGTAAGAATGACTTTCCCCTAGTAAACCCAATTCATCAAAGTGAAGCTTACAATACATGATCACTTCTTAAATGTACAAACTATAAACAGTCATGATGCCAAAATTTTTAAATAATTGTAAATGAATTTTTAAATCTATGGTTTATTATAGTAAAATTCTTAGTGAAATATATTTCATCTCTCTTTACAGTTTGAGTAGGCCAATCAAACAATCTTTTATCTTCTCTTTGTTTACTCTAGTTTGCCTATTAAAACTTTACAACTCTTAGCATATGTTCTCATTTATTGTGATTACTGACACTGCCCTACATGGCTTTTGACCTTGTTATCTTCTAGATTCATTTACACCTAGAGTACAAAACTTTAGGTTGAAAAATTTTTGTTTCAGTCTAGAGTGATAGAAATCCCTAACCGTAAACTTCAAACCGAGAACATCTCATGTAATTTAGTTGCCATCAAGAATTGAGAAATATAAGAAAGAATGTCACAATTTATACTTTTACAATTATTTATACTTACACAATTATTTATACAATATATAGGAAAAAAAAAAAAAAATACTGGCCAATGGGTTCCAGTAAGTCAAAGTCAAATTTCTTTATTTATCTTGTATATACATACATAAATAAAATAATAAGAATCTTATGGTAAACTAGCAGAGTACCCGTCCTTCGTACGGGGTTGGCATATAAGTATCAAATGCTTATTGCAGTTATGGGTGAGGACATGGTTTAAAGCCCCGTTCACACGGGGCGAGTTTACAAGCTACAAGCCGGATTTTTTACACGCAGCTAGTATAAAGCTCAGAGCTTCCTTCTGAAATATCAGGATTTTACCTAAGTTGCTTTTTGATATTTTGACATTTTGTTTCAAGCATCTGATAGTATTGGTACAATATTCCACCAAGAGAGCGAGCGATTACAAACACAGCGTACATACATACTTTAGAAAACCAATACTATCAAAACCTTAGTACGACTACAGCTAATTTACCTGATGATGTAGCTAGGATGGTATCCAGTGAGTACAGCCAATGGCAGACCAAACCCAATGAAGTACGGCCAGTTGTTCTCAATGTAGGTGAGTCTACGATGCAGCTCCCAGCCCATGTTGAACCACTTGTACTCAAACGAGTACAGAGAGTAAAGTAGACACATGTGTACAAGACTGAGAGCTTCAGCAAGCACTGGGATAGGCAGCAAACCTACCAGCATAGTCTGGCAACACAATAATGTTACTTACACAAATCACTTAAATATTTTACAAGTAAATATGAGTAGGATAGAGTCCCGCTAATCCGAACTAATCGACACCGGACCATGTTTGGATTAATAAATTTGTCGGAATAGCCAGAAATTAAGTATATTTGCATAACCAGTCACAATATACTTATTAGCCAAAATGACTAATTAGCCATCAACTACTCCCACAATCACAAAAACACTGTGATAATGGCAACATCATGATCGTCTCCCACGATCTTTTTTCTTACTACGAAACCTTATAAGATAAACAATGGAACACAAAATGAATGGACGATGAGACATAGCAAGATTATTTCGAATTTGTCAGTCCCATACAAAATTGACGTACAATAGACAGACTTTCCCCGGTTTTCCGGTACAATTCCGTATTTCCCTGTTGGCTTGACACCCAAGTAAGCTGGTTAGTACTTCAGGACACATTTCTCAGTTCACAAATTTAAAACAGTGCCATGCATGTTTATACCTAAAACAAGCGGTATGTTTGAAAGAGATTCTACTATAAGGGCAAAAAATACATTGCCAATAATCCAATAGCGATTAACAGTATCTGGTACTCCAGCAAAGTTTAAAGCTATTTCCACTACTGGTATCAAAATGCCTTGTTTAAAATGTGATTGATAAAATGAAGCAAAAGCCCATTCGAAACAGTTATTTCTAGCATGTGTTTTTTACACATATCAAAACATACTTTTCAACTTTCACAATTCTAAAAGTCAACACTTACAAACAATACATAGTTTGTATTTTTAGCAAAAATATTCTATACTACAATATTTGGGTGCCACTTTTTAAAAAGTAAGTTATAACATTGATATTAGCTATCTTTAAAAAAGTGATAATAATATTCTATTTGGGAACTAGCATTTCTAACATATTATGTGTTTTAGACTTTAACTGTTGTCATTATTTTTTTCTTGACCACATTATGATAAAAATTGCTGATGTTTTAAGACCAGTATCAGTGTTTCAGTTCAGTATAATTTTAAAAATTTCTTATTTACTTTTCAAATAAATTTAGAACCAATAGATAAAAACTATTACCATAAAAGTTTCTCAAATTAATATGGAAAAAGGAAATTGCTGACAAACATGATAGTTAACCAATAATGGCTTCAGTAGGCTATCAGCAATTAATTACTATTTCTGTTTTCCTAAATCCACTTCAGTTTCTTTGTGAATCTTAGATAACCTATCCTAACGGTCAAAACCATTTTGATTATCTGCTTATTAAATTAGTTATCTTTCACGAGGGTAAGAACAAAATTGTATAATAGTCACATGGGTTAGTGAAAATAGATAATAATGAGTCTGACATATATTTAAAGAAACATTTGAGTAAAAATGGAATCAGACAAATGGAAATTTGCTTAGTCTGCAGGTTTGCTGCGGCAGGGGTATTTGATTTTTTTAATTAAATATCCATTTTGGGGTCTCCCTGAACCCCCCAAAGAGCTACAGACTACACCAGCGGGCCCGATTTTGATGAAATTTGGTATGTGGGTACTAATCCATGGTATCTCCAGGCATTTTTGAAATTTTTATTTCTAATGGTGATTATCTCGTTGAATAAGGTGACAGAAAACTCAGATTTTACTTACAATTTTCTGTGTTATCGCCCTTTAAAGTTTGAACAAAATTACATAACCCAAACTCTGTAAAAATTACACTTAACAGTTTTTGCAATATTTAACATTTTAAAATAAAACTAACATCCACCCCCACCTTTCACCTAGTATACGTATTTACTCATAAATAAAAGTAGTAGGATGTTTAATTTCAGCTACATGCCAATGGAAGAAACTATGTGTCAGTTTACCGTTTATTTTGTAACGGAACTAACCTGTGCCAGGAAGAGGAACTGTACGAGGACACTGAAGAGTGTATCAGCAACCAGCTTACTAATACTAGAGAACTGCTGAGGTGTTCCACGAGTGTGCCTGTACGCTGAGTCAGCTATGTCCTGCATCCACACAACATCCTCAATAATAGAGAATAGAAAAGAAAAAAGCTATTTTGCTAATAACTATTAGTAGTGGTGTGGCCGTTAAACATAACTTATTTGTATGTGCGACTTACATGTTTACTTAATGTTAGTAGGCCTAATAGTTGCACAATTTAATAGATTTCGGTCTAAATATATTAGTAGCCCATAAATTATAAATTTTACTTTGAATCAGCAACGTTCACTGTCACAATTTATCCCAAAAAGGCAAGGGAACAATACTATTTAGTAACATACCTACTGTCTATCAGTATCAGTGTAGGGGAAAACTGCTTGCATTTTGCCTAACCACTTTAAATTTCACAGCTACAACCAAGAGGTTATTGAAATCCTTTGTGACAAAAATTGCTTCAATGAATTCTTGAGGGTTCAGAAACTAAAACTTAAATTATTTCAACTAAAATTTTCTTACAAACCTTGAATTAAGTGTACCATGGACCTAGTTTGTTTATTACATTTTGACATGACATTGTACCAATTGGATTAATCCAATGGTTAGACAAAATTAAGAGGACATAGGCTACCTGAAACCACAGTGCGTTGACCACTTTGCTGAGCAGAAAGATCGGAAGTACCCAAAAAGTGCTAAATGTCAAATGAAGGAACGGTTCCATCCATGACCAAACGGCTCTACCCGTGGCTGAACTGGGGCCGAACACCATGTACAATACTTGGCGCAGCGTCGGCAACAACACGTATTCAAACAGCACCAGAGAAAACCAGAATACACCACCATTGAGTAGACAGCACTGCAATGTACGTTGCAGGATCTTAGGTTCTCTATGACAGGGAGAAAGAAAACTCTATAGGATGATATTATTTTATGTTACAGTAAAGTCTCTGTTATTCCAAGGTCAAGTAAGCAAATAAAGGTTGGATTGCACAAAAAATGTAACAGACGTATACTCGTTAATATAATAACATTTTCTTTATTGTCAACCTATTACCTATTTATTATTTTTTTTATTTATTTATTTATTTTTTTTTTTGTCCTAGGACGCTAGGCACGAGCCTGGGATTGTTTTTCACATTACTTCAGGCTAGACCTAGGGGTTGCGACATTATCACTTAGATAAAATCCATTGGTGACGTGGCGGGGATCGAACCCGGGACCTCAAGGACTGAAGTCCCGCGCTCTAACCACTACGCCAGCTCGCTCCCCAAACACTAATACAACATTAAATAATACTCAATAACACAAACTGACTGTGTTATCCCAATAATTGTCAACCTATTGGAAGCCTTAAGTTCGTCTTCCATTAAAACTACTAACTTTTTCCATTTTGAACCCATAATCCATTTAATTGGTGAGTTTAATCTCAGACATGAGGGTATGTAGATATGGGGTTGACATATTGTATGGTATGCAATACGCTAAAACAAGAAAGAGTAGGTCCTTTAATCCATGTGTATTTTCAGAGGACAGTTAGAACAAAGCTGCTAAAGGGTTGTCCTGACGAACCCGGTAGGGTTCACAGCCAGTCATACCACATTTGTACGCTGATGTTGAATGTTATGATTTTTTTAGGATAGATTTTAGCTAGCATACCTGAGAAAATTTAAGCCAATGTCTAATACAAAAAAAAACAAAATACTAGGTTATAATGAGCATACCCTCAGAACCATGGTCAGATAGTTTTGTGACCTTTTATTGTGTATCCACTAATTTCTAAGGTAAGCTAGCTCTCTAACCCTTAAATTACAAATCAGCCACTCATCTTATGTCTACGATAAAGCCTGTTAAGTATACGTTTAAATAGTTCTATAGCTGGGCTATTTGGTAGTACAGTACCGGTACTAAATACTAAATTAATATTACAGATTCCCAGGTTCATTCCAAAATAACTCTTCGAAACCAGTTAAAATTATTATAATAACTTAATAGGCTATGCTTACTTTTTGGCAATTTATAACCTTTATAATATTATCAGAAGAGTCAAATAAAGGCATGAATTTGTAATATTAACAACCCACTTTGACAAGCCAAAAGTTTTGACAAACGCTGATCAATTCAAAAATAATTGTTAAGAGGTAATCTACCTTTTATAATCTTTTAGGAGCAAGTATTTTACTTCGGCTGACTGATTCTATATAGCAGTTAAAAAACTCCTTTGGCATGAGCTTATTTTGAGAATGATCCAAGTTGGCACTCTACCTTCTCACAATTTATAGCGTTTCAACCTCATTCCATTTAAATAACATCTGAACCATCAAAAGCATATTTGTAGATTTTACGAATTGCAAGTTGCCTTCACACATGAATAGGATAAAGAATACTTACTCCTGCTTCTTCATTGTCTGTAAATTTGATGATCTTCTTTTGGGTGTTCCATCATTTTTCACATCCTTGAAAGGTGACCGTTGATTTGCTTGCTGTTTGATTTTTTTGTCAAGGTAAAATATAACGATTGTTCCTTTTAAACTGTCTACCAAACCAAAAAAGATTGCTTTCAGGATACCCTAAAATGGAGAAATAATCACATTAAATTAAACAACTTAAGCTATTAACTTAAATTGTCAAAAATATTAGATAACTGTTTAAACTGGAGTTTAAAACTGTGCCAAACTAGGGTATTTAAGCTCTACAGAAGGTTAGAGAGAATAGTGAAATGTTTTGAGGGTCAAAAATTTGAAAAATACCCTATGTAACCCCATAAAATCAAAGTCCTCTATAAAACCTCGTTCCCATAATCCAATCAAACTGGTTCACGAACTTGTTTGAATAAATACACTTAACAACAAGTATTTTGTTCACACGTTTGAATCAAAATTTTATCAAAATCAGTTGATAACTGTTAATTTGCTAACGGACATAACATATATGAATTTAAACTGATGGTGTTTATGGCCTTTGCGGACATCAAAACAATAAAGTAGGTCTAAATCTGTTTCGGGTCGAAGTCTTTGCATGAGACCTTCAGTAACAGCTTATTTCCTATAGGCTACCTACAGGAAATTTGTTATATAAAATGACTTGTTTAAAGCCAAAACCCAGGTAATCCAAAGCCTGACATATCCCAGCCTTAACAGAATGTTTGGCGTGTTAATATATCAAACAGCTTTACTGTCAAATCAAAATTAATAATAAAGTGTGAGACCAAACCTATAAGTTAGCATACGGTACCTATTGCAATTGACTTTAAATAAACCTTCAAATGGTGTGAATATTATTTTCTTTTGGTATTTTAAACTTGATAAGTACTGTACATGACAAACGGAGAGCAATAAAGTAAGATATCAAAATTTAAAATTCGCTAGAAGGCACCTAAATGAAATTAAGAACTGTCGTATTATACGGGGACCACTTTTTTTAATTTTTTTCACAGGAGACCGAAAATAACAACATAGCCTAATTGAAAAAAAGAACATACCTACTTTAATTGACTTACTAGTTACTGACCAATTTTATTTGACATGATTACGATTAGCGGCCTTTGAGTTCTACCTCCCAAAAGGCAGCGATGTCGGCGAGGATTGAGTTGAGTGCGTTGCCGCCGCTAGCTGCGATTACAGGCGATGCGCGTGCTCCAGTCAATGACCTCACCTTGGCCCACTTGGAGGGGATTTGGCGGGCGAAAGTATGACTCCTCTGGTATCGTTCGATTCATAAAAAAACGAGGAAAGTCCTAAACATTTATTTATGCTAACCCAACCTAACATAACCACCGCAGAGCGCTGTATAATACAAAAGTACCGAAATATATAGGCCTACCAGTTTAAGTAGGCTAACTTTCCCAGTATCTCAAGTCTCACATGAGGTAGGGCCTATATATTTTACAATGTAGACCTTTTAGATAAATAAACAACAGGAATAAAGTTACTTAGCCTATTTGGTGAAAAAAAAACAAGAACCCTTCACTCAGAGGTCCAGAAACAAAGAAGAGAATGGCAATGGAAAATTGCGAGCTCGACATCTGCAATGCCAGGTCCACGTAGGACACCAAAACCTACAACCTAAGTTATTCCCATATTAAGTTATTGTGGATTTTATCTTGTACATAGCTTAACTCGGTAAGAAGGTATGGAGGTATGTCGATACCTAAGTTATCACTAAGTAAAACTTTATCTAAACTTAGAAAATTCAATATCGAGAACCGATATCGACAAAATTCTTCCGATATCACGATATTATCAAAACCCCAATATTGATACAATATCGGAAATATCGAAACGAAAATATCGATATGCATTGATATCGATAATATTGCAATAATCCCTACAAAGGGGGGCAAACTGTTCTAAAACGAATAAGAGAGATTTAAATTTCTAGAACTATTATAAGTTAGGCCTAAGATAAGAGGTCAAGTTCTAAAAAGACTAATTTAAGTTATAGCTGGGTTAGATTGCTAATACTCACAATAAACATATCCATTTTGTCATTAATCATTCACGCCTAAACCACTGCTGAATAAAATTTACATAAATCAAAGTTCAAGAAGTAGGCTAGCTTTGTGGAGAGACTAGGCCTTATATGGAGTGTTCAAAATTACATTTTTTTCATTTTCCAACAATTACCTAACTGTAAAATTAAACTTTAACAATGCATTTAGGACCAAAATAAAAACATTAAAATACCATAGACATAACAACTGCAATCTAAATTTATATTTGCTCAAGAATTTTGACACAGTTAGGTCTAGTCCCGATCAAAATAAATCGCGGAACTTGTTCACTTCCACTTGCAATTCCCAAAACAGAACATTCAGAACTTAGCAGAACCACCAAATCTGTGACTGCTGTGACTGTGAGTGAAAACGAAAACAAAACATACAGACGTTGATATGGATGGACAGAACAAAGAACAAAACAATAAACAAAACAAGTGAATCAGCTGTTTTATTGTTTTCCTTTCAGTTTCTCTTTCTATTGCGTTGCAGACAACTGAACAACAACAACATTGTCCTTGTCCTAACCACTGTAGATTATAACTTGAGTCACTACTCTCTGGTTAAACGTTAACGTTAGAGAAAAACGTGAAACTGTTTTTGCTGTTCGGTGTTTCGTGTTGTTAGGTTGGCCATGTAATCGGTTGGTGGGATGCTGTCACATTCCAATTCATTCTGAATTAATGAATGAATGAATTATTTCTTTATTCCAACAAATTATTTACAGAATATGTACACAAATATTTAAAGGAAGAAAAAAACATAAGTGAATTTAAAAGAATAAAATAAAATTAACCTTTACATTACATCTATGTTTAAAAAAAGCGTACATGTTAATAGGGAATAAGCCGACATGGGCAGCGAGCCTGTGCGTCGACTGTGTAGTTGCGTCCAAACATAACATTATTTATCAAATGCAATAAATAAATAAATAAATGACAGGTGATATGATGTGGTGAAAATATGATGTAAATGGAGTTACAAGAAAAAAAATGTGAGATGAATAGTTATGTGAAAAAAAATAGTAGGTGGCATAACTAAGTTTAAATAAAAATAAATGAAATGTACAACTTATAACCTAACCATACTATTTAGGCCTATTTGGGGTTATCCGTTATTTCAAGGACTTATATCAAAAACTTATTTAAGTCATTGCACGTTAAAACCTGTGTATTTAAAGTTATTTTGAAACATTAAAAATTGTTTATGATAGTAAATAAATACTAACTTATTTACCTCTTTTCAAGCTATGTGGTGATAAAAGATAAAAGGATAGTCAAGTTAGTTTCTTGGTTTGGAGATTTTAGTTTAGTCTTGGGTTTAGCCCTATGGCATTTGATTAAAGTGTTCTATTCTACACAGTATTTGTATATATTTTTTGTGGACATATATAACCAATGCCAATGGGCTATAAAGCTACATTTTTACTCTAGGCTGTTTCCACTTTTACTTCTTGTCAGGTGTTTTGTTAATTTACAGTACAAAAAGTATTTTTGTTTTACAGCTGATATGTCAGATATTTGTTAATTTGTTTTTATTTTGATCTAAAAACCAAACAATAGCTCGTGTTGGACTGATTATGTTGTGTTTCAACTAGACTAGACAGTCTGGGAATATTTTCCCATTGAAATGTAATGGTTAAGACCAAAGGCAAAATTATTGTAGTGGAAATTGTTCATAGTGTTATAAATAAGCAACTATTACTGTTTTTATTGATTTAAAGTACATATTAATGCCTTGAACCAAGAACACAGTAGGTCACCTGTTCTGCTAAATAGGTATATTTTGCAAACACTTTATCATAACAGTAGGGTATTTTTAATTCTTTTTTTAATAATATGCCAATCTTTCCATCTAGTTGGACTATATTAAAGCCTGCTAGTTTTTGTGTCAAAATACATCATTGGTTCTTTTGGCAAAAGTCTCCAACCTCACAAACGGTGATGATAATAAATTTATAGCTTTTGAATAAAAAAGGAAAAAGATAATTTGATCCTGAAATCTTTTTATGAGCTAAGTTATAACAAAATCCATTAGTTTTCTAATTTGCAAAGTAGTCTTGCATATTAAGTTTAGCCTTTATTTTTCTGCAAAGCTATATTAACTTAGCTATGGCTATAGTAACATTAACTTATCTTGCTTTAGTGTAGTATGTTTTACTTTTGTACTTAGTTTATGACTGACTTGTGCATTTCAAGCTTCCATGACAAGTTTGATTGCACGTAATTGCTTATAGATCAATTTATGTCTTATGTAGACAATCATAAGTATCCAATCATGAGTTGACTGATGTGGTACAGCATGTGTCTTATTATTATCTTTGCTTATTATTATCATCAATTGAGATTGGGACGCAACCTAGGTGAGTATTTTAACCTGAAAACTTATGAGCAAAGGATGCGTGTAGAATGGAATGGAGTGATATGACATGTATCTTTGTAACCGACTAAGATCAGCTGTTTTATTAGCCAGGATAATTAATTTAGAGCCCAATAATGGTTAACTGAGTTTTAAAGGCAGTAGCTATTTTTACTGGCGACAGTGGCAGATATAGAATATTTTTTTGGAGGGTCCGAGATTAATTTAAGGTTAGGTTAAGTAATTTCAAGTAGACAGGCCATGATATTTTATCTCATATTTTCTGCGGTAATTTGCACTAAATGTGACCTTTACTTTACCAAGATTATGCTGTATCATTATATCGTTCAATTAAATCATAAAAATTTATCTATTCAAGCCCAATGAAGAAAATATTTCAATTAACTTACTTAAATCAAAAAATCATTGGTCAAGATTTTACAGTGTGACATCCCATCTGTAAACACTTGTCAAAACCTAAGGAGTAAGGAGTCAAATACGCAATTGTGATTATCATATTCAGAGGGATTCTAACTACTGTATAAGTATTCTTTTGTGCGAACTGCAAAACTTTAACATTTCAGTACAATAGGCCTATATGTCGAACAGATGTAAATAACAAACGATAGCAATGGCTACGACTGAGCTGACTGAACGCCTCATTACTCCCCTCCCCTTTCGCTGGTTAGATATGATGGTCTCCAACGGTCAATGCTGCAAGCGAAGATAGCCCGGCGGCGGACAGGAGCTTGAGTCAGACTGAATAAACCCGAACTCGCACAAATTATCACTATCTGCCACCAAGATAACTTAGCGCATCATTCATGACAAACAATTCATATTATGGTACCGGTACCTATTTTTCTTCATAGGCCTATCCATCTTCGGCCCCCTGGTCCCCTCCTTATATTCGCCCCTGACTAGCAATAAGTTACCAACTTAATTCTAATTTCTTAGATGAAGTTTCAATAAAAATGTAGGCTAGTCCAAAGGCTTATTTCCCAGTAAAGATCAAGTTAAAGTTCCTTGAACTTGAAGATCTAGCTCAATCATTCTACTGCCTGACTTATACAACAAATTTCTTTCAAAAACTGTTTTAAGTTACTCATATTAAGTTACTTAGGCTAGTTACCTAACTCAATATCAAATATGTATTGTAACTATTCTTAAAATGTTTATATTTTAGGATGGAACAACAAAACTCAGAAGATTCTACGGCACCACAAACTGTCAGATGCTCAGATTTCGCTCTCAAAGCTAGCAATCCTTCAAAACTGTTTGCCCTTTATTCCTCTCTCGGTGATCTCAATGCCACGAAGCTCCAACACAAAGTCAACAGATATGTAAGGAGGCGTGAATTTATTTATTAGATTTTGTGCTAAACCTTTTAATAATGTTAGCTGTTTGTTCTCTCTACGCCAATTTAAAAAACAAACTATACTCACAAAATCAAAATCAGTAAAAAGCTGGTTGATTTTGGTTTCATAGCAAATTTCCAGAGGCGATAAGCTATTTACCTATAAGAATGAATATAAGTTACCTGTATAAGTTGACCTGTAAATAACGCTCGTATTTCCTATATGTTAAATGAAGGAAATCACAATTCTCTATACAATTTGTCTGTATTTAAGTCAACTTAATCATTAAAATAAGTCAGGTTTGTATGACTTCTCAAATAGCTAAAATGGGCTTTGAAATTTATTGTTACAATTCCACACCTAATACACAACTTTATAACGATTTTGAATTTGAGGCTGTTTTGTAAAAAAAAATTGTATTAAAACGTCCTTTTAAATAAAAGCTTTGTATTTTCATACCTATATTGATATTAAATTATTTGACAAAATTTAATCTGTATAGTATTTGGCCTTAAAATAGTTCCTAATTAATTATAACCTGGTAACTAACTTGGTAATTAATTAACTGTAGTAATCTGGTTAATTATTTAACCCTACCATAAAAGCCTTCTTTTCTTTCAGATTGAAGATGAAACCAGTGTAAAACAGGCATTTTTTATCTTCTTAGACCAAACATCACAAGATGGCATCATCCAAGTCATAAGTGACAAGGAACTTGATAAGGACTTTAGATTTGTTGTAAGTAAAACCGTTATCATGTTGGTAAAAAAAAAAGCTTAAGATCTCGTTTTTAAAGAAAACTTATTTAGGCCTACTTACTGCTGTGGCCAATGGTACCCTAAATGGTACTTGGCCTCCCCTACACACTGCCTTCATAAAAATAAACACACAGTTTAAATCTAATCATAGGATTATATGCTGCCCTTTTCACTTGAAATTAAATAACACAATGTGAACATTTTAGTATTAGTGATATATTTCTTATAGTCTACTCCATTGTAATGATAATTTGCCCCCATTTCCCCCCCTACAGAATTGTATTGAATTCAGAATTTTCCCTCTTCAGTTCCAGTTGCTGAGTTAGATTTATAATCTACTCTGTGTTGTGTTTATTTTGTTAGATAGCCAATTCAATTATATTTCACAAACAACAAACATTTGATCTTGGCAACTTAATTGTTAAAGTTTTTCCATGAGTGTTGGTGTCTTTTGAATGATACAATGAAAATGAATGGAAAATTGAAAATTATTTTCAACTCTCCTGCTATGTCCGTGGTACAAATTGTCATTATAAAAGAACTTGCGAAGCTTGATGGTAGGCCTACCATTAAAAAGGTTTTGTGAAAGTAGACATTATAGGAACATTTAAGATATTTAATTTCTTTAACAGCGATTTACAAGAACAATTAAGAACCCATTCTTTTGCTTATGTCTTTTAATTTTATATCTAAGTCATGAACAAACATGTCTCCTAAAGTTAAGTGAGGATCCTTAAGAGGAGGAAATTGAACGTTTGAACATTAATAACTATACGGTTGGCTCACATTACTCAAGGAAATTATCTCGTAAGGGAGGAGTCATGCTTTTATGCAATTCAGTGGATGGATTTAGACTAAAAGAGGTCACAACTAGAGAAATTGAAGACATCATTAATACATTTAAGAACAAATTCTCAAGTGGGTATGATGATATCCCTGTTATTTTGCTAAAAGCAGTAAAATTTGAACTTGGTCAAGTTTTATGCCACTTAGTTAATTCTTCTTTTATCTCAGGAAGTTTTCCAACCCAATTAAAAATAGCTAAAAAATTATTCCCATAGGCCTACATAAAAAGAATGAAGAAAAAAATCCATCAAATTATCGGCCGCTATCTTTATTACCAACTTTATCTAAAATTTATGAAAAGGCAGTTTACATACAACTAACACATTTTCTTGAAGAACACCATCTCGTGGATAGCTCCCAACATGGGTTTTGTAGCGGGAAATCAGTGACAACTGCTAGTGTTTCTTTTATTGAATCAGTGATAGACTCAATAGATGCTGGTGAACCATGTGTCGGAATTTTTAAATCATTATCAAACTCAGATAACACAAACCTCTGCCTATATGCTGATGATTCAAATCTTAAAGTATCGGGTAATAATTTAGAACAGGTGGAAATTTTATCATTCACTGAAATAGGAAAAATGATTACTTTTTTTGAAAATCACAACCTCCACTTAAATATTGAGAAAACTAACTACATTTCATTTAAAACAGCCCAATCAAGGATCAAAAAAGAACCCTTGATTTGTGTAAATACTGAGCCTATTGAGCTTGTCACAAGTACAAAATGTCTTGGTCTAACAATAGATAATAACTTGGATTGGAATAAGCTTGTAGACAACGTTTTAGCTAAAATCAATTCTGGCATGTACGCACTAAGAAGAATGGCAGGGATGTGCAGTGAATCCACTCTTAAAATTATTTACCATTCATACATTCATTCACACATTTCATTTGGAATTTGTCTGTATGGCTCATCTAAATTAGAAAATCTAGGTAAAATACTTAAAGAACAAAAGAAAGCGATTAGAATAATAAAAAACCTACATCCAGGTACATCATGCAGGGAACATTTTAAAATGCTATACATGTTAACAGTTTATGGTCAGTTTATTTTAGACACTATTATGATATTTTTAAACAATAAGAAGGATACAATTTTAGAACAAGAAACACACCATTACAACACGCAAAAAAAGAATGAAATCATACCCACTCACCATAGACTTGAATTTTACACAAAGAAGCCGTCTTACAAAGGAGCAAGTTATTTCAGAAAATTGCCAAAAGAATTAAAGTGTCAAATAAACAGTTCAAAATTTAAACTAAAACTAAAAACTTACTTGGTTTGCAAAGTATTATATTCCATAGAAGAGTATATGAATAATTAAGCAAATGTTAATTTAAAAAGCTAAGTTGACACTATTCAGATGTACTAACATGTACTTGTCTTGTACGAATAAAGATATTTTGATTTGATTTGATTAATTTTAAGTTTTTTTTTTATATTTGTTCACTAGGTGACCGAGACAGCTTTCAAGCAGTGTATCTTTACCTCCCAATCAGCTGAAGTGGACCCCACCCAGCTGGGCCCTGACTTGCTACGTGTCGTCTGCACAGCTGGCGTAGTAGACAACCTGTATTGTGTGCCTGTTCACCACCCTGTACGTGGTCTAGTGCTGTTGTACTGTCTGGGTGGATACAGCCCTGGCTTAGAGTACAACTATAGTCTGTACGTCACTGAATGTCTAAGGTAAGGGTCGTATGTCAGAAATTTACACTGATATTGTAGACATTTAGGTAAATGTATTGTTTGCGAAGTGATTAGTCTAACCTTATATCCTACTAGATGTAAGCCCTATTGTTTTGGTCGTTTACACAGTCTGCCTAGCAGCATGACTTAGCACTGCTTGGGAAACTATAGTAAATACGTAAATCTATCCGAACACCTCCCCACATGATCCCCGCATCTCTATTCGATAACTTTAGTTTGCTAGTGCCATTTACAATGCAGGAAATATTTTTCTGTCACACTGTAACTTATAACTGCATACATCACAATCTGTTTATCTAGCAGTATATTATGGGAGTACAGACGAGGAATATCCTTGGGGTTAGACTTATTCTAGATTAACATTCTGATGTATTTGTAGACATATTAGAAAGTTCATGTTTTGTTCTGATTACTCCATAGTTGACCTACTAATAATGGTATACCCTCTTTTTCAGCATATGTTTGATTCCAACATTTATGTCCAATAGTTTGGACTTTTTTATTTTTATTTTTAAAATGGTTTATACTACCTGCATATAGTATTCCTTTGTTGCTGTTTTGGAAACTAGTTTCGGTTCTTCTGAACCATCATCAGGCCTCAGGTGGTAATCACTTCATTCGAAGGTCGTTATGAAACAGATTTCAATAAAACATATCCATTTTAAGTACAGGGTGAGGCAGTGAAACAGCAAGATTCTGTCACCAGCTGATGAGGAATAGCTGACGCTTTTAGGAATAGGCTGATGAGGAAAATTAGAGCACGGGGGAAATGACCTTGAGAATCTATACAAGTGGAAATTTCAGTAGCCATGGAGCGTTGGACATTTTCACAACATGCGTTTGCTGTAAAGGCATATTTAAAAACGTGGATAGTGTGATTTGTGCTCAGTGCACTTTCTATTGTAAGTTCAGTCTATCGCCACAGGCTCCCATGCCATCAAGAAAAGCTATCCTTCTTTGGATGCATAACTTTGAAGCCACTGCTAGCAGAACAAAGCGCTACAAAACGATTGCAGACGTTTTGCAAACGCAAAAAAACTTCAAGGGTGGATTTCATCTCAGAATTCAACAATGTGTGCTAAACCAAGAACGCCATTTTACTGACCCAAAAACAAAAATACTGGAGCAAAAACAAAAAAATTAAACAAAATTTGATTAAACAAAATTATTATTTTTAAGGTGAAACATTAATTTCCACTCATGTGCTAAAGATTTATGTTAAAACAACTATAATTTTGTCTATATGAATTATTTGTGATTTTTCTAAATCGTGCCGTTCCCTGTATAATACAGTAATCCGGAGGTCAAACAACTATTTGAAAATTATATTTTTTTAAATTTTAACTGACGGCTCCATTTTGATAAGTGTTTACATTATAGTAATTAGGTACTCATAGTTTTTGTTTTTACTTTATTCTGTCCATGTTGATAAGGTAGGCTATACTATTCTGTAACATATTTCTTACCTTGTTAGTTAAGTTGAGATGAGATATTACATCGTTTCTCAGTATATCAAAAAGTTGGCACTGGGAAATCATTATGTTTGAACCAAATGGGTTCTTTGTGTTTTAGGCTATTTATACGGTTTAAATTTTTGCTGTACCCACTATATTATATAATTTTTTATTGCAGTATTTATAAGTTAAATATTTTAGAGAGCAGTCAATTAAAAACGGAATGTAAAAAACCCTATCATTTTAAAATTATATTGGTTGAGGTTGAGTTTTTATATATGTTCCATAGGCATTGTTTGGGGACAATCTTGAACACTTTAGCTTATGAAGAACAGAAAAGGCTACATTTACGGTGCTATTCATTGCTGAAAGGAGCAAGAAACTTAATAACACATCTGGGTGAGTTATCAAATAATAGTTTTTTCAACAAAATTCCCATCAGTCATATAAATCTTGTTTATTGTAAAAGCTTCCAATCAACTTTAAAAATGATTTTTCACACATTCAAGGTTTATTTAGTTGAGATATTTACTACCTGATTTTAATAATCTTTTTGCGATTTAATCATCTCTTAACTCAATTAATTGATTAGTATAATTTCATTTTGAACTGATGTTTTGATTTGAACTGGCTGGTAGAGAATTTGTTTAGAAAGAACAGACTTTAGTCATTTGGATTCCTTAATTTTTATTCTGTTGTCTCTAAAACCATTTGTTGATGACGTTTAAAAATGTTTTAAAATCATTACATTAAGAATCAACAATAGTCAAATGGTTGAATAAATTGTCACATTTTTGTATGTGAAGGGTCAAAGTTCTGTAATGTATGTGGGAAGAATGATCATTTAAATCCATCTGATGACTGAACTTAATGAGCTTTAGTGTTAGCAAGATTACTTTTAGACTTTACAATCCTAGTAATTTTAATTTATTTTAAAACGATATGTTTTCAATGTTGTTGTATATGTTATTCAATTCATTTTTACTCATCAAAAGTAACAATCAAAATCATAGTGATAAATCGTGACCAGGTAGTGTTTAAGTAATTAAATGGTCTGTGAAGGGAAAGATTTGCCCCCCATTGTTAAGTAATTGTGTTCTGCAGGGGACAAATTGGCCCCTCGGGTGGAAGACTACAGGGGGTCTGGTAGCCAAGCGTTCAAAACAGTAACTGTCTTGCTTATTACCACTCGTTGTTAAGGGATGGATAGTTTTGATTGTTGACAATCCTAACGTTTTTTTTTATTTCCTGGTAAAATTTATACCAAAATTATGGAAAATAAATATTATATTATTCTTTTCATCTCAAGACACAAAATGTATTGTTTTGTGCATTGTTAATCTCTTTACTGTGATGTATTGTTTAAAGGTATTTATTTATGTTGAATTTCTTGCTTTCATACTAGCCCTAATTGTTTTGCTACTACAATGATTTTCTGAATACAAACTTATTTAGTGCCCTTTAACCGTAAAACTTGTATTGCTTTGGGGCAATCCAATAAGAGGCAATAAGAAGCCTTAGAGTGAAAGTCTTATTTCACTCTTTGTTTGTATCATTGGCTTCTCCATGTGAAGGGGGTTCATCACAGTATTGATTATTTTTTCTTGGTTGTTGAACCAAAGAAATCTTGAAAGTTTTCTTAATATTGAGTCATACCTACATAAAATTAGATAAGTTAGATAAATTAGATAAGAAGAAGATATTAACGATTTTCCTTCTTCTGGATAGTATGATTAAGTCTAATCGTAAACATGGCATATTTACTGAGACTTTTTTTGCTTTGGAATTTTATTTTTTGTAAATCATATTATCAAATACCTAATATACAGTAATGTTTTGTTTCACTTCACAAATCTATTTCAGTTCAGTCTTAAGCTATGGGAAAGACCAAAAACAAAAGTCAATACCCTACAATTCACGAAGCATTGATTCTTATTGACCTATTGCTACGACTAAAGTTCATTATGTTCAGTCATGAGATGGAATCAAATATTCATTCGTCCCAGAAAGTTTACAGGGGGTGTGACACTTCACATATAACAATGTGACAATTTACCAGTACAGGAACACTGAGCTTTGCTTGAATTAAAACGTATTAGATAAAACTTAATTAACTAAAATAAAATATATTTATCATGTAATAAATGTGAAAAATTATAGCCTATCTATATGATTCAAATAAATATACCTACATTCATGATACAAATATGTAGCCTACATTGCAATCAACATGTTTTACGTTTCAACTTCCAGGAGCATTTGAAAGATTGTTTAGAACTTCTTTCAATACTACGTTGCGGGTGTGAGTTGGATTTGTTGGCGGTAAGACCATGTTCAAGCCGTTTTGGTACTTAACATTAGAGTAGGCCACAAAAAACATAACATGTATGAAAACCCCAATGAGCTGGATCACACCCACGAATTTCAGAGCAGCGGGAGTTCGTTCGGAAATCATGACGGCGTGTAGGCCTATTCGTATTTCCCATGTAGACAGCAATTGCCGAATGAATCTCTGCCGGTATTGTTTCGCACTCGTTCTCAGGGAAATATATGGCTCCGCCACGTAAAACTGTCCTAATCCTGTATATTCTGACATGGCGACTTGAGGAGTTGCGCTGACGTTCTTTTGCCAACGTCGAGCAGCGATTCTTCGACGCTCTTGCTCAAAATGATCGGGTAGATGAAGAGGTCAAATTTGTATCCCGACGATCTATAGTACCTCTCGCCCTTGCAAATTATGTATATATATTTACATTTACACTTCTGAGGTCTTCCGCAATTTATTTTTAACTTGAAAATTAACCTTGATAATATTACTAATGTACCTAGTAAACCATACTATATATGACAAACTTTTAATCCAAAGTAACCAATACAATTATTTTTGTTTACACATCAAATCAAAATAAATGATGATATTAAGAATAACATGAATCAGCAGTTTTGGTTAACTGCAGCTAAAAAAATTATTGACGATAACATAAGAACTTTCAAGGGCTCTAGGACGGAAACTGGATTTTTTCCTGCCTTGTGACCAACTCCAATTGATTTCTTGTGGCCAAATACCCCAAATTCAATAAAAAATCTAATATCCACACAATAAAAAGATTTTCCCCTATGGTACACACGCTTGTTTTAGAGTATAGGATAGGATAGGATTTGATTATTTTCATTCCTACTGTTATGATATAAAAAAAAAATTGTGTACAAATTTTGATCTTAGCTTACAATAAAATGATTTATTTAAGAAATTATGGATGCACACCTGAGCACAAGCGTTCCAATATGTGTGATGCTTTATGACTTACTATTCTCTGTTCTTAAGTGATCATAGTTAATTTTCATAAAAGTTTCAATCTCTGGATAAAAAAAAAATTGCTACATAGCGGAGACTTAAAATAATAATGTTTACAGTAAATGAAAAATGGCGGATTTTGTCAGAAGTTTTCAATTACAAATTACACAACTGGAACTAAAGGTAACATTTAATATTGGTTGACCTAATAGTGTTTAGAACTTAGAATACATTACAGTTATGACTTACCTTACACAGCCCAAAACAGCTGCAGTGAAATTAAACCGCAATATTTGGCTTTGACCATAACCTCCTCTAATTCAAAGCTGAGGTGTTGGTGTGTGTCAACGTCACACTGGCCGCCTTATTGCCATGGTAATAACAGAGATAACTAACGTGTAAACATAGCAGAGATGTTCCATAGTGAATCGGTGCGACCGCTTTTTTGTTAGGCCAAGGCTGCAGCGTTACCACTTTTATCTCGTCCCGGCCTTGTATTAGAGGAGATTTGACATTACAAACACACACAGATAACAATTAAATTGTTAGTTTTGCCTAGCCAGAAGCCAATCCTAATCCATGAAGTTTTACCTCTTGAGTAATTAACTCTCTCCATAAAATCTGAGTTATATACATGTAGACTGAACAACTTGTAAATTTGTTGAACAGGAGATGTAACTGACTTGTTGAGAGAGATAATGACGGAGGCTCGCAAGTTGACCAATGCAGAGAGGTGTTCGTTGTTTCTGTTGGACGAACAAGGGGATCTCGAATCCAAGGTTTTTGATGGCTTCAAGGCTGGGGAGGTAGGCATACTGTCAACTCATGATGTTTACCAAGTAACACTCTCTGTTTTTCTTAGTTCATACAATAACCTTTTCAAGTGGTTTATTTGGGCTATTAATATGTTTAACTGAAGACTTTGTCAGGTAATAATTTCTAGGTCCATCGCTAATCATTTAGAACCATAGCCTATGTAGACAGGAAAATACAAGGTTAAAAGAGGCCGTCAACTTCTTTTCTATGGTAAAAAAATTCAATTATGAATATGCTTTAACTTTGGTTTAGTTATATATTTTGATATGTTTGTAGCCTGTGACCGAGGTGAAGATCAAGTCAGGCCAGGGCATTGCTGGCCATGTAGCTCAGTCAGGAGTCCTAGTCAACATTAGAGATGCATACAATCATCCATTGTTTTATAGAGAAGTCGACAAACACACTGGTTTCCGCACAAGGTATGCGTATTGATTGATGTTCATTTGTTTTCACGTAATTCTGAATTTTTTATATACCCTCAAATAAGTACAAAACACAGAAATTACAACGGCTTTTGAGTTTTAAATTAGTCCCATAATTTATATCCCTGAAATTCTTAAGATATGAACTCTGAACTATTACTCATCGTTATTACAATTTTTAAAATTTTGTAATAGTTTACATGTTTGGTTGCCACCTTTTTCAAGTGTTGGAGTTTGCTGATACATTCATAAATAAGTGATTACACTTAGTTTAAAAATCCGTTTTACCTAACAATTGACATCCATTTTTTTTTTCAAAGTTAAATAGACTTATTAGTAAGCATATATTAAAAACATGAAATCATATAGATCTACATATTTATCTTCATGAGTGCATCGTCACCACTTTTACACCATCCTAGGTAGCCTGAATAAGTGTACAGGCTGAGTTAACGGACTGTTATCAGTGGTACAGTTGAATTTCGTTTCTAAATTAAATGGAGGATGAAACAACCTGATTTTGTTTTCTAGGTCTATCAAAACAAAAAAGTAAATCAATCAAGGGTCTAGGTTAGGGATGACCATCAATCTACCGATAACATTGTCTAGAAAACATCGCTGTTTTTGGGGCTAAAACATCGATGTTAATCAGTTTGTTGTCTCATCTCTGTACTGCAACAGCTAATTAACCTAAAAATAATACAATCAGTCATGGAAAACATCGATATTTCAATACTTGGCCATAAACATTAACAAAAACATCGGTATTCTACCATCGATGTAGAAAACATCGATGTTTTGAAAAAATCAACCATCGATGCTCATCCCTAGTCTGTAGGTTCCTGTACAACCTACAGTAATAGCGTCTTTAGTATGGAAGGATATTTTTTAAAGTGTTACATGATGAATATTTGTAAATAAAAATGTTGATACATCCGGACTTATTACTTAATACAAAATATTATTTGACTAGAAATAATCAATGAATGCAAACTTATAGTATAGTTCCGCGGTGGCCGCTAAGTAGCAAAGTGCTACTATCACGAGCGCGCGGCCAAGTCAACTGACTTAGTACTTACTTTCCGTGTCCGGAAATCAGACTTCGCTTTTCCAAAAATTAGCTACCGATATGACTTAGTGACAAAGATTGAAACAAAGTGCAATGGGCTAAAAGAGAGATGGAATAGCGGCGGCCGCACGAAGCTCATTTCGGTGCAAAATTTGAGTCTATTCTCCAAAAGCATTTCACTTCTTATAAGGTTTGTATTCATTAAATATCAGTATTTGATGAAAAGACGAGGTGTTTAAGACAAGTAGCCTTCTATCAGTCCAGTTTCTTATTTTTTACTAGTTGTAATTCTTTCTCAATTGCTTTGGTGCATTAGCTTCCTTGGGCACAGTTGGAAAAAAACGCTACGAAACAAACAAAAATACCAACAAGTCAAATGAAATCCTCTTTTTTCTGCTCAAATGAACTGAGTTTAATAAATATTAGTAGTTATCTTCAGAAACAGTTATTTTCTATCTCCTCCTATCTAGTTTCCTCGAGTAATAAATTTTAATTTATAATACTTTAATTGAAACATGTCAAATTTTCCGATAAATTCAAGTCCTGAAGTCCCAAATTGTTTGACAGCACAACAAAACTAATACACAATTTTGTTTTTTCAGAAACATTTTGTGTTTCCCCATCGTAGACGAGTCCCGCGTCATCGGTGTCGCAGAGCTCGTGAACAAAGTTGACGGAACACACTTTGACCAGTTTGACGAGGAAGTGGCGATGGCGTTCAGTGTCTATTGTGGCATTAGCATCATGCACAGTTTGGTGTATAAGAAGGTGCAGGATGCACAGGCGCGCAGCAAACTGTCCAACGAACTCATGATGTACTACATGAAGGTACGTGAATACAGAAAAGTGTTCTCAGGAGTAAAAACAGCTGAGAAAAATGGTGTAATACTTACTTGTGAAAGTGTTGTTGCACTATGCAAGGAAATACTGTAATTAGATAAGTTGTTTGAGTAATGTATATCTTTAGGAATATATTTTTCCTCTACCCTATTTAAAAAGTTTTTCATTCGCTATTACAGTAGAACTTCTTTTACAAATCAGCGTAGGGACTGGAATGGTGACAGGATAAGATAATAGGCAGGAGTTAATTGTGTAAGTAATTCAAAGATTTAACTGAAAATGGGATTATGATTCTGATCTAGAACACAAAATCCCAATTCAGTTTGTCCGATTTACAAATAAATTTGATATGTAATATATTTTAAATTATGTCTTGTAAATCATTAAAGTTCAGATAGTGAAATTTGTCATGAACACATGTGGAAACGGGTTGACAGAATTGAACTTGAGGTTATATTTTCAGGTGAGTGATGAAGATGTGCAGAGGGTTTTGGACTGCAAAGTTCCCCATGATCTGCCCAATTTTACCGATTTCAATTTTAATCCACGCAATATACCCATAAGTGAAACCCCTTGTCTTTGCCTGAAGATGTTTGAAGACATGGGATTCATCAAACATTTCAACATTCCTGTTCACACGTTGTTAAGGTAAACTTAATTTTATTTTCAAGTTTATTGAGCTCTTTGCCAAAGGTTAAGCACAAAAACATGTATCACGGAAGTTTACAACAGGGATGGTTAGCAATCATTCATTATTCAACATTTTGCATCCAAAGCAAAGGACATTTTTCAGTTAGGTTTTGGGAAATTATTTCTGTCTTTCAAACAATATTAAAATTTTTTTACTTCTGATAACTGTTTTTGTTAAATGTGTTGTATTAAAAGAGTTTTTCTTCTGTTTATTTTATTTAAACTTTTCTAGAAGTTATTTTGGAATAAAAAATATTGTTAATTTCCATTGTCATTCCTTTATTTTCAAAATTCCCTCAAATTTAATAGGGAATATAATTGGCTGCAAATTAAAAAAAAAAATTGAGAGGAAATTAAAAGTTTGATTTAAACCTTACTTTTAGTTTTACGGTTTTACCCATCATAAAGCATGTTTACATAATATTGTGTGATAATGTTCAAATAAAAAATATTCTGCATCCTTGTTACTAAGTGTATGAATGCTCTTATAGTTGTGGGATGCTGAAGACATGACAAATTAATCTTATACAGTAACTGGTTTTTTTCTCCTTGTCGAAGGTTCATCCTCTATGCCCAAAGAGGGTACAGGGATACACCTTACCACAACTGGTCTCACGCTTTTGCAGTTCTTCATTTTGCCTTCATTGTGATGAAAAACTGCCGGATCATGGAAAGGAAACATTTAACGTAAGTTTAAATGCAGAAGCAGGATTTCAGCTAACATTATCACTTTTTGCAAAAAAAGAAAAAATACAAACATTTTAGAAATTTTTTTCTTCAGCTTGAGTTGTATTTGATTTAATGCTAAAATAAGTGCTTAAATTATACTTATTTAAGTTTGAAAAAAGCATTAGGAAACAAATGTAATTAGAGATTCTTTTATTTGGTGCTTTTGTTGGTTCACATTTCATATAGTTCTGACAGCCACATGCGTATGACTTGTACCACAACCATATTTAACTCCAGGCCGCGACCTTCGAAGTGGCAACACCGTCAGTAGTGCTGTTACAGCTGTTTTTTTTTTTTTTTTTTGTGGCAGCTAATGTGTATTTGTTAAGAATGTGAAAGCTTGGTTACCGGGCTATGAAAATATTGACTCCATTTTTAATGTACAGAAATAAATTTTCAATTTATATTGTTTTGGTTTGGAACGAATAGCTAACGAATTTTCTGCTATGATACCTCAAATAACAGAATGGTTTGTTGTACAGGCCACTAGAGGGGCTGGCGTTGTTGGTGTCTGCAATGTGTCACGACATTGACCACCGAGGCACAACCAACCAGTTCCAGCTACGGTCGGGCAACTCACTCGCTCGGCTCTACAGCTCTGAGGGTTCCGTTATGGAGGTGATATAACAATGTAACATCGCACATGCATAATAGTCGGTCAGAAAGTGACATATGTATTTTAAATAAATAAAACTCAAAATTAGGGAAACATTTTAACTTTTTAATTGATTGCACCAGGTTAAACTGAAAATCTGGGATAACTAAAACCTAAATCAAAACTCAAATCAATTATAAAATTTGCAAGGTTACAGGAAATGTCCTAGCGAGTGGTTAGACTTACTTGACCTGTGACATTGTTGCAGCCACTGTTGTGAAGAAAAGTTTGAAAAAAAACTTAAACTTGTCAATTATTTTGAATCGAAATATCCTTTAAATTCCAACCATTGATTACTGGAAATTTAATAAGATTTTTTATTCAAAACAGCCTCTGTGCTTAAAGGCTAATTTCTTATAATTTCTTATATTCTTCTCCTAGCATAGCCCAGTAAATATTAAAACCTCGTTTTCTTGTTTACTCATTACTGTCCCTTTCCCACAGAGGCACCATGTTTCACAGACAATGTGTATTCTCAACACTGAAGGCTGCAACATCGTCGCTCACTTGGACGAAACAGCGTTCAAACAGTTCATCGACCTAATCAGCGAGATGATACTTGGTATGTTTATTCATGTTTACCGCATAAATACATATAAAGAATGCAGTTGAAGTAAAATACAGACAAATTATAAAGTTATTTATATGTTGTGAGGATTTATAGTGAAAATTATTTCTGTATAATATTGATATGTTAGTGTTTGTTTGAAGTAAATTGCAAAATATTTTAGAAAATATGTATTTACTTGGAAAAGTCTTTTAATAGTCATTTACATTTTACCCTGATATTGCGATAGACTTTAATAAATTCTTTTTGTCTAAAGATTGCTCTCAAAATTAAGTGTTTTGGGTTTCTTCAAATAGACTGTCCAGAGAAGATGAACTTTTAAATAACTATAAACATTTTCCCTGTATCATTTTGAAATGTGGTTTCCAAGAATAGTGGCTCATCAAAATAGCTAATAAGAGAGTGTACTATAAACTACCATTGGCATACCGATGCCCAGCTAACCAGTTGACTAGGATGACACCCATGAGCTTTTCACTTTGACAAAAACTATGTTGTGTTGCAGCCACAGACATGGTGGTGCATTTCAAAATGTTGCCGGAAGAGAAGCAAATGTCCGTGTCGGGATTTGACGAGAGCCGAGACCGTCATCGAGAGCTGCTCAGAGGCCTTATCATCTCTTGTGCTGACATCAGCGATCAGACGAAGGACTGGACCATGTGTCGACGTGTTGCGGTCAGTCTCATACACATGTCCTACCTACTGACATTATTTCAATCTTTAAGATTGTAAATCAAGCTGTCACTCTCTCCATCCTGATTCTACAAATGGTTTTAATGTTTATATAGTTTGTCACAACCCTTATTGGATGGGTGACGGATATTTCCGCTGTACCTGTAGACAAACTAATTGGTGTTTGCACATTATCAAACGGGTACAATGGTGCTATTTATTTACTTTCTAAAACATAAATTTTGTTCTAATTTACATTTTTTATATGTTGGAATTAAATATAATGTTCTTTAAAAAAAATTATTGACCCATAAATAACGTAGCCACTTTTTACTCTCGATAATTGCTGTTACATTTGTAAAGATGGGTTGCAGGTACATACATAGGCCTATTTTTTTATTTGCGAACAGTACGTATATATCCATACAGAGATGTAATTTTTGTATGTTTATTTAAAGTATAAATGTAATAAAGTGCTAGAAAAATATAATAATTTTTTCATCTGGGGCTGTTTGGGAAGGGGGAGTGTTAATACTTCATGCTAAGAGCTGCCCTCTCTTTCTATGACATTGTTGACACAAACAGCATGGATTTTTTTCAACATCAGCTGTCTCTACCTGAGTTGCTATGACTGATTGAGGCAACCTAATAGTCTTTTGGACCACAAAGAATTACATTTTTATTTTTCAAACCACTTGGAGGTAACCTAATCTTTAAGCACATAATAGGAATAATATAATTGTTCTGAGACAGCAAATATTCATAACTATGTCTAAAAATGTAACTTACTTTTTTCAGAAGTTAATCTACGATGAGTTCTTCACTCAGGGTGACATGGAGAAGGCTATGGGGGTAGACCCCATGGACATGATGGACAGGGATAAGGCCAAAATCCCAGATCTCCAAGTAGAGTTCCTATCTCATGTAGTCAGTCCTGTCTACGAGTGAGTAGCAGAGTTTGAAGGATTCAAATACAGTATAGTTTATATGCGATCATGACCAGCACAAAGTTGAGAGTTTTTAAAATTTGTTTGAAATTTACAAATAAATTCTCAGGGGTTTTAACTAAAAAAAGTGTTATAATTACTTTTACTTAAAACAGGCTACTACTTTTTCAAAGAATTTTAATTAAGGCAATATGAAGCAATCCAGTAGTAGCTGGGGACATCTGATGCCAAATCATTGAATTATTTTCAACTAAGACTGTATACAGTACATGGTCTATTAGCTGCTCAATCTTTTACAGCTTTTGCTAAAGTGCATCAGAAAGAGAATGTTTTTATTTATGGTTTTAAAAAGACTATAAGAAACACAAAAGGTTTGTACCTACTACAAAAGTTTACAAACCCTTAAGAGAACCATTTAGTTGTAAATATGGACCCAAAACTCTAGTAGACCCCACTAGGTATTATCGCTTGGGGAGCGAGCTGGCGTAGTGGTTAGAGCGCGGGACTTCAGTCCCTGAGGTCCCGGGTTCGATCCCCGCCAAGTCACCAATGGATTTTATCTAAGTGATGATGCCGCAACCCCTAGGTCTAGCCTGAAGTAACGTGAAAAACAATCCCAGGCCCGTGCCTAGCGTCTTAGGACAAAAAAAAACCTAGGTATTATTGAATTCTATTTTGATGATGATTGTGAATTAAATCATGCCTTTTTCCGAGAAAAGATAAAGCGGAAAGAGTAAAGCGAGGGATAGTTTAGCATGATCTGGAAAAAACTACCGTTGCAAAATGACGCCTTGAAGATTTAAGAAATTTCAAACTGTTTGTACTTTGCAGTGTGCTCGTATCTCTCTACCCAGAGGCTAAGGCATGCCAAGAGCAGATAAGGCTCAACCTGGAATGTTGGCAGAAGGCTATTCCTTACTTCCAAGACCAGACCAGGAGTGGCAAGTCTGCCATCGAGATATTATCTGACTCTGGCTTGGACGACATATTACACTCGACAGAAGAGTGACATACAGGTACGTTTAATTTGACTTTGTTGTTGCAAAACTTGTTAGGTTTGTGTCTCATCAATAAATATTTAGTTGATTTGAGTTTGAATCTTATACATATAGCCTACAGTCATAACTTTCTTTCGGTAAAATTGTGGGGAATACTTCAAAATCGTATTGCTGCAATAATTGAGATGAGATAATGGGTGTACTTGTATTTTAACCTCGATATGAGTGTGTGATGGAGTGATCTGCATTATGTAGCTTGATACTGGCTAATACAGGTAATTTCTATAGCCAAGACCATTTTATTAAAAGACTGACCAAGGACAGCTAGGCCCAGATTCAAACCTTTAAGAAGCTACTGACTTTTCTCATGATCAAACCGGTAACCTTCAATGAGGCAATCATCCTACTCAGCTACCCAGCTAGATTATAATCATCTTGAAATACTGAGTCTTTTACTAGTCTTTTTTTAGAGTCTTTTTTAGAAATACTTTTCTAACTTTCTTTAAGCAAAAATTTTGATAAATTTAAATGTTAGCTTTTAGGACTCCAGTGAAGCATCATTGGTTTGAACACATAACCCCTTTAAGTTTTTTACAATGTAGATTGTAGCTAAGTTCTCTCAGGTGTTCTTGGAAACTTTTTTACATAGTATTTGTATTAGGATGGAGTGGATGGAACTAATAAAAGCTGTTCAGCAGCCTTAATCTACTAACTAAACTATTTGTTACCTACTCTGTTGAGTGTCGATTGTGATCATTTTCATGACTCCTGTTATTTTTTTTAGCTATAGCCTTGATAATGTGTATTACACTTCTGTGTCTAATGATAACAATTATTCTCCTTACATACTTTAAAATCTTCTAATTAAAAACTATTTTTAAAAACCTTATTTTATTTTTTCAGATTAAATTTCAGTATTTGAAAAGTTTGATCACATCTTGCATGCAGTGAGGATTTTTTAAAAGCAGGAACTTGTGAGACGGATACCTTAGTTAACCCTACTGGTAAGTGCTTCATTTGATTTTGTTTTGTTCAAACACATTCATAGCATTGTATATGTTGTCATAGCAGGCAGTTGTATTAATAGTGCAAAAATGATTAAATTGTGACAAAGAATAGAACCCATTTGGCACTGTAAACTTATTTTTAAGGACTTTTTGTGAGGCAGGTTAACTTGAATGGGAAAGTACACTCTAGCACAAGAACCCCAAAACTTAGTAATCTTAAAACTATGTAAAAATTAGGACATTTCACTGTCATTGGCAGCAATTTGGACAGAGAGTTGTCTTCAGACGCAACCCAATAACTGAAAATTCTAATTTTAGTGTATAGTGTCCAGTTTTGGGTTTCTTGTGGTAGTGGACTATTTCCCACTCAAGTAAAGCAGCCATCTTCACAAAAAACCTCTTAAATCTAGACTCTTGTGCTCTATGTGTAACAACTAAAATTTATTTTGACTTTACCCTAAACCATTGACTATTGGACACTAAATTAGACATCCCATATATGTGGACCAGCTGTCGCTAAATTTTTATTTAAAAAGAACGTAGTTGTGTGAGCCAGACACAGAATGCGCTCGTGCCTAAAATTCTATTTTCTACCTTATTTTTTCTTAACATAGTTTATGGGTCATAACAGTTGCTATAGCTCACAAAAAGTTGTTTCATCGGTTTGACTAGGTAAAAAGTTTGTGTATCCGACAGTAAGTTACATCAGCACAAACTGTCGGTGGTTCCCATAGACTACAACGACTTTGATAAAAAACTTTTGACAACTTAAAAATGGGGATGGAATGTCTAGTTTGATCAGTAGTCAAATCCTAACCTAACCACATTGCATTTTGTACCAGATATCTCTATTAAAGTTATTAGTTTATTAAAGTTAATCAAAGTCAAATATTTGGCTTTACGTTGGTGTTGTGATTTGGGAGGTTGAGTAAACAATCAAATTTTGTATTTTGCACAGTTCCTTTAAGACTTGCTCTGGATTGGAATGAATGTTACCAATTGTGACAATTATAGTGATGTCAGCACAGTAGACTTCCATTTGTTTGGATCTGTTTGGTCCCCTGTGTGACACACACTAATTTGTGTATATTATCGGTTTGGTTTTTTAAAATTTCTGACAATGGTCCTGTTCTAGGGGCGGACAAGGAAGTCTAATGTAACTGTATACTATACGTGGTTTTGTACTATGTTATTAACTGTCTAATCCAATCACTTTTGACAACTAAACATATCTCTTTGAATATTCAAAAAATACTTGAACACTATACCAATCTTGAGGGCCTAATGGTAAACTGAAATATATTCATCATATTGACGATTGTGCTTCTGTTCTTGTTTAGTTATTTTGTAAAGCATTTGGACTGATATTTGTGCCTTCTGTTTGCCTATCCTCCGGATATCCGGTTTTTAAATTAATCGTATCATGAAAAAATTATTTGTTTAAAAATGTTTAATTTGTTACAAAATAATGATTTAGGCCTATAATAGCTAGTACTTAGGTTATTTTTTTTTTATTATCTATGTAACTTCATTTTATTCTTTGTTATCTTATTTGTTACTAGAACAAAAATGATTACCTTTATTCTTCTTACATGACTACCAATAAATCTTTTTATTATTTTAAATGTAATGGATAATACAGGCCTTTTGAAACTTAAGTTATTAAAGTAAAGTAATAAGTAAATGGGTTTAGGAATCAACTAATACTTTTTCCCCCTCAGTCATAAATTTACTTGGGCCATTCTTCACAGATTTTGGGAAAAAATTGAATGATTTTTAGTAATTTTCACAGACATGTGGGTGTCATTCTGATCAGATGAAAATGTCTGTTAGCAATGAAAAGTTTATTGAAATCTGTAGATTCATGGTGTTGAGATGGTGACTGTAAAATAGAATAGATTATCAATTTTTTCACAAACTTTTCATCCTCAATGTAGAGTAACCAATCTGAATCTGTGCGTAAATTAAGTCAACCTGAAGATGGTACTTTACATTGAGGCCGAAACATTTATCTTTCACATAATTTTATAGTTAGGTGAGAAACTCAAACAACAATATTTTACAGTATATAACCATGAAAGTCTATCGATAAAAATAAAAATAAAATTATCAATATTGTTTTGGAGACACTTACAGACATCTCAGTCATCACCCAAAAACTTGGTGAAAAATAAGTATGTGGGGGAGAAAGCAAAAACTTTTAACTGTTGGTCGTCCAAGCAAACATTGATACTGTGACGACATTGCGAATACCAATGTAATTTTTTATTTTTATTAGCAAAGGAGTCATTATCATTTTGAGATTGGGACACCACCTAGGTGCTTATTTTAACCCAAATATGAGTGAAGTACGACTGTAGTCATATCTCTGTTAATCCTTAACTAATTGAATGACTAGTTCAAGGTTTGCTACCTTTTTTTAATAATAAGGAAGGAGTTTTTGATGTAATGCGCAGTTCTTAAGCCAAGCCTTTTCATTCATAGATTGTGTAAATAACTATATCTTGATAGATTGTATATACATGTTTGGAATTATGAGGGTTTATACAGAAATCTTTCTATAACTAAACATATTTGTTACATTATGCTGTGGTAACACAACACAAGTTGTTGTAAACAGCATTGTAACATTTTGTTCCTATAATTAAATATTATTAGTCATTTACAGTACAAAACTGTTCACAAAAAACTCACATTTAATTCCCGATAAAAAAAAATATTTAAAACAACCATTACATTTATTTTGAGAAAATAAATTTACTAATAGAAGATCTATTTGTCCAAATACATTATGACACTCTTATATTTGACATTTGTACTTATAATTCTCAAGATGGTATGAGTGAATAAAAGAATTTGGATTAGAATTAATACCACTATAATGTTAAAACTGAATAATCAGTTGGAAACTAAGATTGACTTATTTCATTAGACTGGTAAGAGTATTATATTTAATTTATTATATGAGTACAAAGTTTGAAATGTAATTCAAACATTCCTTTTATAAAGCTTTAATTGCTATGTGTTCTCATTTAATTAACTTTCTTTAAGAAAACTAGTCATAAAATGGTCCTAGAAAATCAAAATGGTGCTTCCTAAAAAATGAATAAGTAGTTCAAAATTACAAGCAGTACTGATCACTGATTGTGTACTTTTGCAATCAGTTTTCAAACTACTTAAAGTATTCTTTTGGGAAATACTGTTGTGTAGGATATTTTGTATTAATTAGAAACCAGTTTATAGCAGTTTTTCTTTGGCTCATTACCATAACTGTTCCACCCTAATTTAAAACCATTTAAATAATTATGTTTTCTTTTGTTAAGAATCTGTTGTTGTGTTAATGATTTTATTATTATAGGCAAATGTTAGTTGCTTAAAGATAATTAAGATATGTTTTTGCTTATTGTTCAAAGTTGATTTTTGAGAGTATACGTTGTAGGATTATTGCAGACACTATTTATTACTAATAAGTAAGCGTTACTGAATGAATAATACTATAAGTGTTCTGAAAGATAATTATTCATTACATCAAGATGTAAGTGGCTATTCAACAGATTTCCTAGATTGTATGAAACATTTCCTCTCCTTAATATATTCACAAGTTATACATGAGGATTGTCTCTGTAGTATCTCATAATAATGACCTAACCCAGGACTCTCACTGAGCTAATACGTAGTGTTTAAAGAGACAACAGAGACGAATAAAGGCAAACATCTTTATTTTCGTTCTTGATTTACAATAATGTTTTTGTTTCTTTGGTTTTCTATTATCTTCTTAGGTAAAAAGATCATTGATTGGGTACACTGGCTCTTTTTCCTGATAATGAAAAATATTGTTCGTGACCTCCTGTATATTGTCGGGTCAAGGTACGTTACACATTACGCAAGAGCTTGTTTACATCACTTAGGAGAATTATGCAACTCGCTTCCGCTCGTTGCACAACATTCACCTGCGTGATGTAAAAACGCTCTTACTACACTTGTAATGTAAATAGCTATTAAAAATCACAACAACATCAGAACTACTAAAGATTCTGATGTAGACACTAGCAGATTCAGACACAACAATTTTACCAACAGATTTTTACAGATTTTTACCAACTCAGTGAGACTTCTGGTCTAGTTATTTATTCCATGGTAGTACTTAGTAGCCTAACACAGTAACAACACTTGCTGTTAGTTGTAAAATCTCACGACATACACTGCTGAGCAAAATTTCCTGTAGTGTTGTTAAAAAGTACCAAAATTTTTACATGGTCAACCGTTTGCTGATAAATAGTTTATATATACCAACCTATTTTTAAATCAAAATGAAACCATTGGTGTGTGATATGTTTTTACGCTCAACAGTTCATACTTAAATTTCCATTACCACAGGCCTATTGATCACATATCACAATTTCATCTTGATGCAGTAGCCTGGTATGAATGTTAGTATATTGTTACATGTTATATGTGCCATATTCTAGAGCTAGTCTGTTCAGTGTGTCATATCTAGAGTGAACCAAGATATCAACGCCTAAAGTTATCTAGATTAGTAAGCCTAGCTGTATACTGTAGAGGGTCGTTTAAGTGTTGTAGCTATTGTAATTTTTTGCCAGTATCTCTGATGCCTTTTTGTAGATTTTTGTTTATTTTTAGATTAATAAGGTATTTATGAGTAGTGTTTATATAAATTGTATGTTTTTAAGTTGATAGAATCTTTAGTGGTTTTTATTATGTTGAAGACTATTTTTAATATTTTATTTTGGTTTTAGATAGAGGTTGTATGTTTTTTTTTAGTACATCAAATAATTTTCATCTGATTGCGTGCTTGTGAATAATCAAAGAATTTGAATTTATACGTGACTATCCAAAATTATGTTAGTTAAAAAAAAAAAACTTGTTGCGTTCTCTTAGAGTTCCATTGATACAAACTTAAATTCCCTACCCCATTAAAGGCTGAAATATCCGTTAACATCTTTGCATTTTACTGTAACCATGATTGTGACTGTCAATGAATATTTATATTTTACTTGTTGGTAAGGTGTTGTACGATAACTTTTAAATAAAACCCTAAAACACATTTGATACTTTCACTGCTGACCTTTTGAAAAAAATAGAAGCAAAAACCATTGGATTGAGTGGCGTAGCGAACGTGGAGCAGTCACTCCAGGTCGGAAGTCTTTGGGGGGAGGGGCGGAACTCATCGGAAAATACAACTTTTGGGCATTAAAGGGTCACATTAAGTCGAGAATATCAGCTGTACAGTTTTATGGCTATTGAAGTTGTCTGCTGGTTTCGCCGAAAAAAAGTAGGCCTGAATAACAAATATACTATCGTATTATTATTAAAATCTGTGTGTTTATCATCGTGTTATACTTTACTATACACAAACCCCTTTATTGACATTAAGACACATTGAAATGTAAAAGATTTCAAGTGATAAAATATGAATTTATTATTGTGTAGGCGGAGTAATACTTATTGCAACTAAATGACAGTAACATCTGTCCGTACATAATCTGTGTAGATAGGAGTCATCTTTTTAGGCCTTAGTAACGAAGTATTCTATTATTACCCAATAAACTAAAAAGTATGCAAAGATGCGATATATTTTGGCACTTAAAATATCTTAGTATCCTTAGAGTCAGTCTGAAGATGGTACCATGGAGTACCGAAGTATATTTAACTAATTGCACTAATATTCAACTTGTAATTTTTTGTGAATTGAACAAATAGTTAGGCCTACGTCGTGTTTTAAGTGCTTACTATCAAAACTTCTGCAAGGACCTTTAATAGGAAAATTAATATATGAACGGTGATTTTTGTTGTTTGGGAGGGCGGTTTAACCCGGGGGCTACTTCTGCTCCAAGGCACTACAAACCTGGCTACGCCACTGATTAGATCCAATTGAGGAAATTATTTTGCAACTATTTAAAGTCCTCAGATAAAGTAGATAAAATCTATGAATGATAAATTTGCTTTATTATTTTGTTTCTTTTATAATTGTTTTCCAACTAGATGTTCGTTGCTGTATTTTTCGTCTAGACCATTTAGGGTGTATAGTAGTAAACAAGTTTGTGTTGTATTATTATAGTAGGTAGCTATGTAGAACATAGATGCTATTGTAAATTTGTGTTTATAAACTATTATGTTGTGAGAAGCATGCAACAGCCATTATAGACTATTGTTGACGTCCAAATATTGTGCAATCAATCAAAATAGTACTTGCCTACTCACATTTTTCAGTCTGTAAACAATTTACCAAGTTTTAAATCAAAATATTAATTGATTTAGATACAGAGATACAGTCGAGCACACTTGGCACTCAACAAATATATTAGCTGAACTCATATCTCCATAAAATATAACTAACGGAACTCAATAGTTCAACATTGTTGGCGTGTTGGTAATAACCTAGTCATGATCAAAATATTATTGAAATCAAAATAGTTAAGCTTAAGCAAATTTGTGGCTCTTTAATAAATATAAATCGTTATAAAGTGAAAATCAGTTTCTATATTCTAACTAATCTTGTGCTCCAAACTCCTCATCAATTGTACCCCGTTCTTTGTCTAATGTACAATCTCATTAAAACTAGCTTTAAAAAATAAGTTCCTTAAAATAATATCTTAGTTTTTAAAAATCCATTGAAGGTTGCGATTTTCAAAATGAACCACGTTGGTTCTCATTGTTGTTACAACCGGTGTTACATATTGTAAAAGTTCTATCCTATTCTTAAAAAGAATGCTGTTAACAGTTAGTTTTCCTGTTAAGTAGTATACTACTTATTTGTTCATTTAGATTACAGAATTATTAACTAAGCACTGAACTGTCTTCCAGAGCTCATATTGTGTTGTGTGGTGGAGAGAAATAAATTTAATTTAAGGTAAAATAGTGTTTTGTTGTATTCGTTTACCTACCATTAGCCTTATAATGCTTGACAACTAATAAAATACTAAAGTAAATTTTGAAAAGCTATGAAGGCAGAAAAAGACAAGTTACCTATACCATTTGTACTATGTACTACTGTTTACTTATACAGTATGACTTCTGACTCCTACACACCATGGTCAATTCACCTACACACTGAAAGATTATCATAATTGTTAATGCAAAAAAATACTGATACTGCTCACTATTTTACTTTTTGTTTGAGGGTGGGGGATGGTGGATGGAGACAAGAAACTTGAGTTCCCTTAGTTTTGGTGCCTCAAATTCTAGGAACCATAATCACTGGGTTCTTTATTTTTTCTGAAGAGAGAGATTTTATCTAGTTCAACATCTTCGAGTATTTCTAACTGGCTTCGGTTTCTGTTTGATTGCTCTTCAAAGTAGGACATAGCATTTTGCCAAAACTGTAAATTGTTTTCCAATTTATTTATACAACCTTGGACTTCAGGACACAATGCTGCAAGTACCCTGGAAATCAGAAAATATGTATGATAAATTGTAATTTAATATACAACAGGCCTACATTGTATTCATCATTCCATTTTAGTGTAACTTGTATCACATTTTTAATTTATTGTCAGAAGAGAAAAAGTTGCCTGTTCATCTATTTGTTTATCTTGCTTCCAAGGAAAATGTTCCCACTTCTTAGCTTAAAAAAAAAAATGGTTTTAAAATGGTGGTTATCGTAAAAGTAATATTTGTCTGTTTTTTTCTCAATCTAATTTTTCAGTTACTGCATACTTATGCTAGTCATGAAATTGACCAATTTTGGACCAAGACAGTGTTTTACATACAAGGTTAAGCGGGTTGTAGAAAAGATCTTACTGAGCAAAACCTCAACTTTAATTGTTTAAAGTAGAACATTTTGTTTTGTACAGAAATGTAAATTTTGGGACAGACAAAGTCTGTTGATCTTATTTGTATGGTTAGCAGAGTTTGATGACTTTTGAAGATCTCAGCTGATAAAAGAAATGGCTATTTTTGGATTCAGAATGATACAAAATAGAAACGATAAAGTTTACCTGATAAATTCTAGTCAATAACCATTTTAATCATATTTAGTAAAAATTTCAAACCTTACCGATAAACAGGCATGACCACTCTGGAGATGAATTTAGCCTGTTCTTCTGCTATGTTGGTGTGTGTTCTATCCATCATTTTTAGAGGCAATAGTCCCATCGCCTTTTCTTTATCTCCTTGGTCAAAAAATTCCATGTTGACTAGTTTCTGCAAACATAGATTTTTTTGTTTTAAAAAAGCCTTTTCTTAAGCTTAATTCGAATCACAAGTTATTGTAATTTTCCCTTTGTTAGGTAAGTCTAACTTTATATATAGTAGTATTTATACTGTAGATCTTAGGAGGGGTGGAAAAATCATCAGGTCGTAAATAAATTACCCTATTAACAAAAATGCTCATGAAACAACTTCTTAAATTTCAAAATTGTTTTTATTTAGATTTTTTTATAATGCATTTCAAAAGTTTGCCTCATCCTGTATATAGATGAATAGCGTTTTTGTTAAATATCATCTACTTAACCCAAGAGAAGAGATACTTTTAGATAGATCGTTGAGAACTTACAGCAGATTTTCTCGCAGTTCTCCGACCCTTTGTCAGATCACTCAGATCCGCCGAGCTGATGACGACTGATCGTAACAATTCTCTATGTCTTGCGTTAGTTCTGTTATAACCTTCACTCGCCATTGTCTGCTCTTCCAATAAAACTTGGAAATGTCTCTTTAGGTCTGTTGCTGCAGTAGAAAGCAAACTTTAACATTTGTATATAAAATAACAAAATAATTTGTTGACTGAGAAATTCAAGAACTAAATTCATAAAAAACGCTTACTGTTATTCAGATGGTACAGAATTCTTATAGAGGAACTCCCTTACATCACCCAGCTGGATGACAGATATTTAAATTAGTCAAATGAATTTGTAATGAATGCATCTGAAGAGAACCTTCTTTAAACATAAATATTGCTATAAACATGTGCAATCCATGTAAGTGACTGGAAATAAGTGTTAAAAAGAAGTCTCTTATTTAAAAATTGATAGAAATGCTAGTTTGCATTGTAAAAAAACAACCATAAAATAAATAAATTTTTTGGAGAATTTAAAAAAGAAATATTTTAATATTGTTTGTCCAAAAGTTGTATATGAAAAAAGGATGTTCCCTCAAAGTACAATCTTTTGGTAAATTGTTATGGGGCTCACTCGCCTATTTTTAGCGAATTTCCCATATAGGGAATAAGCTATTACCGTAGTACTCATGGTAAGACCTGGGCGCGGGACCGATTTTTTTTTTCGTTTTGAGGTCCCTAGAGGCCAAAAACACCATCCGTTCAAATTCATATATATATATATATTTATATATTTATAAAATTAAAACATATATAACAAAGTACCCTTTTAGTAATTATTTTATTTTTCATGACGACATGTTTCGGAACTAAGTCCATTGTCAAGTATTTATATATATATACCGGTATATATATGTGTGTCCGTTAGCACGATAAATCGAGCAAAAATGATCCGATTTTGATGAAATTCGGTACAAACGTGTAAACCTACGTTTATTCGAACGAGTTCGCAATCCAACATGATCGGACCATGGGAACAGGGGTTTACGGGGGGTTTTATGGGGTAAAAATAGTTTTTTCTCATTTTTGACCCAAAAAACATAAAATTTAGCAATTTCTTTTCAAACCATTTTGTAGAGCTTAAAAAAACAAATAATTTAGTATATTAAAGCGTTACTATGCGCCTAATGGTTACGGAGAAAATTCCAAAAAATTGTAAATTTAAAATTCCCATGTTATTCTTATGGAGAATAAGTAAACTGTTGTAGTTTGCTTGTTTATGAACATATTTTGATCAAATTTGGAAAATGTTTTTATTTATTACTAACTATAAACATTTTACGAATTAAAAAAAACAGTTTTACCCTCCCCGATGCAGCAAACCTACGTACTTGTTAAACTAATTCTATTTAAATGGGGAATAAATGTAATATTTTTAAGTAGACAATTCAGTGTAAATCCAATTAGTCAAATGGAAATTCGCTTAGTCTGCAGGTTTGCTGCGGCGGGGGTATTTTTTTTATCCTCCTGTTAATTCTGGAATAAAGCAGAGAGAATTACTGCAACACTAGGAGTATCTACCCCAGACTCCATAGTCAACATTAATTGTGTCTTTGTTGTATATAAAATATTATACAGTATAATTTTGTTTAAAACACAGACCTTACCGAGGATAATTTGTCTAACGAGATCTATGAATTCTTTATGTTCAGTCTCTGATAGTTGTGAAATAAAGTTGGTCCCTGGATGTTCAAAGATGCTCAAGGTTTTTTCAATATGATGTCTCTGAAAGAATTAAGATCAATGATTAATTTTGTCTGATAATAATGATATTGGATCGAACCACTCCCTTACAAAAATTTTAAAAAGTGCCACATTAAAAACGTAAAAAGATATACACAAAGAATTATAAATATGGTAGACATTTATAAGATAAAAATAAAAAATTTACATTTCAAAATATTGAAATACAATTTGAATTTCATTATTTGCTTACCGTACTAGTAATCTATTTGTGTTAAAAGTGTAAAGAAAAAAAACTCAGACTTAGACTCTCATATATTTAAATGTTATATTTAAATATATTTACTCCTTGCAATGCTCTTTAATGAATTCTTTACAAATGTTGGTTGCCCCTAGGTTGGAAGAACTCTAGAAAATAAAAATATCAGACAGAGCTTTTTGGCAGTGGAAGCTTGATGTTAATGAAAAATATGAGTGGACCCTGCAAAATATAAATATTCCCCAAAGGTCCTTAGGGGACGCCCCTGGCACTGTTTGTAGTTCTTCCAATAAAGTAATACCTTTAATGAGATCAATTTACCAGTCTTAATTCTACACTGAATTTACTTGCTCACTACTACACTAGTGACTAGTGTTGCACTTAAAAGGTGAATCTTTTGTAGTGGCTTATGATTTACTGAATTACCTTTTGTTTATCAATTAAATACTATTGCATATACTTAGAATACCAAGGTTATTGAGAACTAAAAGTGAGTAACAATTGGAGTTTATTGCACAGAATTTAATAATACACTTATTTCAGTTTACAGTCGTTGTTGTATTCTTTCAAGTAAAAATGACCTTGAGATACACAATCAGTTGGAAATTTATTGAAACTGTTGAATGGATTTATCAAAGGGGAGGTATGGTGCGGTTTCACACCGATCTCGAAAGTATCAATGGAAGAGTGGTATTTAATCTAATGGTTGAGATAACCTGTACCAAGCAAATCCTTTCGTTGGCCAACGATTAAAAACGAAGGTCGTCTCGCAGTCCAACTGATTGAACAATATTGTATTCAATCGTAGTAATGTTTATCAGAATGTTGCTTTATTATTTTATAGCTAATTTGGCACTTAGGTGGTTCATCTATGTTCAAACTGGCACAACTTCCAACAACACTTCCGTATCAATCGAACCAGCTACCTGCTCCCTTCTCTGATAATAATTTGTTTCCCCCAAAAGATACTGACTGTGACACTCTTTAAAAGAATTGTACCATTTGCTCAACAATGAAAATTAACAATGACTCTGTGTAAAATTCCAACACTATAAAAATCTTATTAAATAACTCTGAATTGCCCTATAAAAACATTTTTACCTATTTATTCTTAATACTATAGGGTTGTTACAATCTAATTAATAAAGCGGATTGCTACAATATGAATGGATGTGAAAATCAGTGATTTGAATTTGAACCTATGAACATGTGCTTACTCTACATGAAATGACAAAACAAGACAGGAAAAATTTTCAAAGGTGCGACTCACTGAAATCTTAAATTAACAAATAAATAACACAAATTACTTACAGTTTGGACGTCCACAAATATGACACAAATAAAGGGGAAGGGATTGGGAAATGTAACTAGCCGGTATTCTACAAGACGCGATCAATTGAACTCGTGAAACGAACGTGTAATTTTAAAATAAATAAATAAATAAAAAGGCCTTTATTTACAAGCGAGTTTCATATACATGATTTTCAAACTTACTCAAGTCAAACTAAAACTAAACTAACCTAATATATACAGAAATTTAATATACAGAAAAACTACAAAGAAAAAAACATTTACAATTTACATTTGTTTTTCTGCATTGCGGCCCTGAATGAGCCATACGATTTGGAGCTCTTTATGTCCTGAGGGAGGCCATTATACAACTGCGGGCCAAAATAAGAAAATGACTTTCTTCCAACCTCAAGCCTCACTTTAGGAAAGTGAAGCCTGCGGTCGGAACGAGTACCACGCAGGCAGATCTCCCCCCTGTACTTAAGCCTCTCGCTGAGGTACTGAGGCTCTCCCAGCGTGAGCACTTTGTGGACCAGGCAGCAGGTCAGCCTCCTGCATATTTCATCCATTGGGATGAGGTTTGCAGCATCTCGGAAGGAGGACACGTGGTCAAAGCGGTTAAGGCCAAAAATGAACCTTACCGCAGAATTTTGAATTCTTTGAACTCGTGCCATATCCTCCTTAGAGATGCTGTTTCCATATGCAGGAAAGCAATATGTAAAGGCTGGGAGGACCAAGGACCGCATGAGTTGCATTTTGGCATATTCTGGCAGTAGAGTTTTAAATCTGCTAAGACCTCTCAGTCTACCCACTGCACGTTGAACTGCAGATGTGACATGGTCAGAAAAAGAGAGGTCTTTGTCAAGTACAACACCAAGTGTGTTGACAGTGTCGCAAACAGACAATCTCATGCCATTTTCAAATGGCGGAACTGCGTTGGCCGGTAACGAACTTTTTCACTTTCTGACAATGACACTGATACTAATTTCCAATCGCGGGGCAATTATATCCCTTAGGGATATAGGCTGTACGATTTTAAGGAAAAATAAGATTGCCCGACCAAACGCCGCGAAATGAATTTAATTTCCACGAACGAAAAACAATTTTACCGAACTAGCTACGATGAGATTTGGGTAGGAACTGGGCCTGCTGGAAGCAAGTGACCATCCGGCTAGACCTTATCCCCTCTCCTACTTTAGTGCGTGGTGCATTCTGGTCTATACTGATCTATTGTTTAAACCAGCTGACTGTTCTTCGCGTTACCCTGTATTGATTTGTTGCCTTTTTACAACAAAATCGGTACAAAATGCCCCCTAGCAGAAAAAAATGATCCGTGATCGGCCTAGGACAGTCCAACCTATCGTACTACCTCGGAGCATTTTTGGTCTAGCCGGTGGACCACGACGATACACATAACACATTTACAATTTACAATCAACAATAACGACAACAATTTAAATTATGGCAACAATAACACTAAACTATGACAATGATCTATTTTGTAACAAGGACACCAACTGATCATTTCCCTCATTGAACACACAAAGGCATCCCGCGCACAGAATAACATTTTGGTGTATCACCATGTGACCACCCGCAGAGTGTGTTGTCAGAAGTGGTGAACAGCTGGGCTCGTACATTGTTGTTGGTCGGCAGCGTAGTAGTCCATTGTTGTGGTGAGTCAGCGGTGCAGCGGGGAGGGGTGGGCCAGCGCTCAACAATGGTCCGATAGCAGTGTTGTCAGTGATGCGATAAGCATGCGATAACCTTCTCGTGACAGGTGAACAATGTCCCTTTTTCCATTAGGATATCTACGTTTATAATATTTCTTCGTCCGTGTACTATTTAAAGGGTGGAATAGCTTGTGGAATTGTAAAATTCTTACTCTGGGCGGATTGTGTAAGGATTGAATGAAAATATTGATTTCTTTGATTTGAGTTTGATGTTGAGGATTATTGTTGAGGGTGGGGGGGAGGGTTGAAATGATGATATTTCTGCTGCTGGCTTTAATGAGTTTTGTGATGGTTTTGATATTTGATTTGATATGATTTGGGGGGACTCGTTTAAATATGTCGTTGATAGAAATGATTAGAAAGCATGTTTTACGGAGATGTGGCATTATGGATTTTAGGGATGATAATAGGTTTGTAGTTGTCCATCCGCCTCGAGTCCCACTGGTGTCGATGTTGACACTGGGGTCGTCCATAGTCCATGTTTCGCACATCCGTCTGGCCTGCGAGTCACCCAGCACACTTACACCGTTGCACATCATTGATTTTTCACTGTCAGGGAAATCACTCACTATTACCATTTCACAACAATATTTTGTTTTTTACAATTACAATTTTTTTTACGTTACCACATTTAAACATTTAAACACATACAAAACAATACGATACGATTCGCCTACCGCTGGTAATATTTTTTCAATTGGCATACATGAACTACTCGATTTACACTGGGATCCTCGACTAATTCAATTCTGACATTTACTGGACTTAACACATTGGTTACGACGTATGGACCTTTCCATGTTTGAGTCAATTTGTGCGATACTTCGTTGGCTTTATTACTTGGTATGTACCTTTTATATAATACCAAATCGTTTTCTTTGAACGGCGATGGATTCCTATTTTTATTATATCTGGCGCTACTTTTGCGATGGGCCTGATTTTAATATTATCCATGATTTTTGCGATACAATCCTCTGTAACGTCGGTATCGTTTTCCTGATCGATGTCCCACTGTAATTGCAATGGATGATTAATTTCTCGTCCTAAGAAAATTCGCGCAGGCGTCGCTTTGGTTGTTTCATGGACGGCTGAATTTAAACCCATGTTTAAATATGCGATATTTTCATCCCAGCGTTTTTGTGTTTGCGAAT